CTAATAAGTTTTTAGACTTTATTGGGTGAAATTTAATCAAACGTTACTTTTCTTTTACTTTTAATAGTTTCAACAAACATTCTCCTTAAAGGCATAATTCTAAACAATTTACTAAATGAATCTTGCAAATTATCTTTCATCTCCATATCTTATAAAATTCATTTTTATTTTAAATTTAAATTGTTAACTTTTTAATTTAAATTTTGAGAGTATCAAACATTCTAAATTTATTTTAAAATTTTTTTATAAAATAATATTTTGAAAATTTGTAATTCCTACGCTAAGAGGAGGTAAAGATCGCTCAAAAGAAAAAACAATCCTACAATAAGCTTACCCTTACCGTTGTTCTCTTTGTTTTTTCTAGAGTTTATTTTGTTTAGTGTGGCTTTTTATTCATATTAGATGAGTTATTTTCTTTTGTGAGAGTTTTTTTTTTTCTATTCCTCTTTCATCTTCTTATCTTTCTTGACTCACTGTTTTCTTCTACAATTAAATTATTGAAGCCACAATCTAATTGTTAAATGTTAGTCTCATAGCACGTCGTAACCCCGCTTCATGCGCCCTCTATCCTTTATTCATATATCCATTTTCTTGTGAGAACAAAGTTTTAAGCTGTTAATAATTATTTTCCATAGATTGGTTTAACCTTTCATTGGACAATATAGTATATATGCTTGTTCGAAAGGAAGAAAAAAGGAAAAGCAATCAATTTCCATCTTCTACCTCTGTTGATGTTTTCTCATAAAGGATTGCGTTTTTTTAATATTTGAATTTGTTTATTTGTTCTATATATTTAAAACCTAACTTAATTATTTATATTTGACCATGAATTCTTGTTTTGTGCACTGTTAAAATAGTTAATTTTCGTGATTTATAAATATCATTTGACATTTTTATATAAACATCGTATAATAATAATAGTAATAATAATAATAATAGCAAAATAATCTATTTTGACTCTAATTTTGTGATCTAATACTGATGAAAATTAAGGACGACTTCTTAAATTTAAATTATATGAATATTTCATTTATTATTAGTGATATAGAATAGAAACAAATAGCCATATAATAATGTAATTTTTTTAATGATAATGTAACTTTCGGGGTAAAAAACCCAAAAACCATTTCTCTCTACGAAACAATTATCTCCATTAAAATTAAACATTTTTTACCTTTGCAAAAATTCTCTCACAGAAGCATCAAAGCCATGCCCACATTCTATCCCTCTCGACACATCGCATTATTATTTATTACACAAAATGAATTTTATATAAAAATATATTAAATTTCTATTAGTTGAATATTTACATATTATATATTATCGGATTTATTTTTTCACTCCTCGTATCATATCAACAAGAGAGACACGCAGTGTTCTCTATGGTATAGCTTTCACGCTGGGTTAAAAGATATTACTTTATTTTTATTATATTTTCTACTTTTAAATACAGTAAAAAAAATACAAAAAAATAATTATTTTCTGTGTAGCTAGAAATTAAAAGAGTGACCAGCTTGTCTACGCCCCTCTATTAATTGCAAACATGAAGCATGCAATGATGCTGCTGTCTGCATGGGGGCTGTGGCGTGCTGCATGCACTCTTTAAATCATCATGCGCCTCTCATTTTTTGCTCCAATTTTTAGTTAAAAAGTATTTTTGATTTGAGGCGTGCAATAATACCTCTCCAAAACTTATGGATGTATGCATTTGGTATGTTTCATATTCAGACAAGAAAAAGTAAAAGCCAGGGCAGATGGCTATTCTCCTTAGGCTTTCTCTTGAATCAAGACATGCAAGAAAAGAGAATCTATGGTTTTAATTCATTAAAGAAGATAACACTTACAAAAAAAAAAAGTTTAGTTAATCTCAACTAATGACTAAAGATAAACTTTAAATAATAGTAAAATTTTATTATAAAAAAATATTCATTATATTTTTATAACTTTAATATAATAATTATATATATATTTTTTATAAAAAATTTTATTTGTAGATCCTCAACAATCAATATTAATATAATAATAATAATACATATATACATACATACAATATTAATTTTAAGTAATTTAAATAACGTATTCATAAAAAATAATAATCATTCATTTTCATTGGCTTCCCAAGAACAAAAAAATCTCCCAAGAGCGGACCTTTTCAGCATCTTAATGATACATGCCTCCAATAAAATAAACGTCGATGACATATTTTTTTGGCTAAATTCTTTATATGTGTATTTTTTTTAATTGGAGATTTGTAGTAGTAGTTCATTAATATGATTTATATGAATAGATGTTTATTTGTTTGTTTATTTAATATAAATTAGTAATTTATTATTTATATTTACGAGTATTTTTAAAATATATCATAAATTTATGATTCAAAGTGAAACATAGATCAATATTGCTTGCTCCCTCATCTTGTTTCTCGTCACTATAAATATATACATTGTGATCAGTAGTAAGGGAGAAAAACAAACGTGGAGCCTTACAGAACAATAGTCTGAATCATATAACACGCATACACATATGTGTAAATTTGAAAGTGGGATATGTTTGCGAGTTCTAAAGAGTAGTTGGCCAGAAATATTCGTTTTCTCTGGTAGGACAACTCTTGGAGACTTTTTTTGGGTCTTGGCAAGTCAATGTGAAAATGAATTATTATTAATTTTTGGGGCTTGGCAAGTCATTATATTCTAGCAAGCACATCTTTGTAGCATGTTTATTGTTTTTGTCTTGTTTTGGTCATCATTAAAAAATAACACATTAAAGACACATTTTTCTGATACCTTTCTTCTAATTTAAACTTGAATTAACATTTATTCATGAGTGCTTTCTTGCCCTGAAGTAGTTTCAGTAACTCAAATGTGTGGATCTCAGGTAAGTATTTCACCTATATGTTCTTATAAACTTTGTACCACTTACCCTTCCACATGTCATTTTTATTTTCGTTCTTTATTGATTTATTTTTTATTTGAGTAATGTTATCAGGTATAAAATCACCCTTTTGTGTATTGTTTATCATTATGCCCATTTCCCCTATTTCTCGTGTAGAATGTTACTTCCAATATAAATTTTAAATGCCTTAGTCAGACTCCAAAATGCACCCAGGCCAAATATATCATGTTACACAGGTAATGTAGGACAAAGAGAATGCTGTATATAATGGCATTTCCACAAGAATCAATTAACAAGTTCCGGTCTCGCAAGATTCTCGGTTATTAGAAGAAAAGCGAATGATATAATCAAATTCACAGTCATGACTTACCCAATTGAAAGGATAATGAATATGCTATGGTTATTCCTTGAATAATAGAACATCGACGTGGAAAGAAGATATTTTAAAAAGAAAATGAGTTTGAAGAAGAAAAAGATCTAGAGAGTTCAAATTTTGAAAACTAAACACTTTATCAATGAAAAGAGTATTTTAAAACAGATTAAGCAGGTTAACCCCTCAAGTCAGATATAATTTACCATTCCTATTAACTACTCATTAAACTAAAATCGCATCAAGACTAATCAGTTCTCAATACAAACATTCAAAGAATTAAAAAAAAAAAAAAAACTAAAGAATGGAAGAAAATAAACTAAACTAGTAAAAGTTCAGTATCAATATGTAAGATCCACCGTCAACCTTAGCCAAACGATTTAGCCACACACAACAAAAATAAAAATAGAAACTACTAAATTTTATTTTTCTTTAATTTAAATTTATTTATCTATTTTTTTTCTTGTTTTCTATATATATATATAGAATGTTGCAGCAGATTCGTGACCAAAAAGGTTAGATCCTAAAATTAGCCAGAGAGCATTTCTGTGTTTCACTTGTCTTCCATATAATCCAGCATTGTAATTATGACCGTGTCCCATGTATAAAATCGGCTAAAAGCTTTACCATGTGAGCTTGACCTTAACGTGTTTATGTTCAATCCACATATTGATTAGAGCGATTTTCAAGAACATGATCATCCGCAGCTAATCCTCACTTTATCTTAGAAGCATAATGCTGCATTAGTTACATTGAATTGGGACATGCAGACGCCAAGTACTGTCAATCCTATTCATTAAAGCATTTCTTTATCAGCTACTATTTTTCTGATACTCTATCCCACGCTCCCACCCAAAACATGCAGCATAGTTTATTAAAAATTTCAATGTTGCTGATTGGTGTTTTAAGATTATTGATCAAGAAATTAATATAGATTTTTCTTTAAAAACTCATGCTAATAAGTATATTTTTAGATCTTTAATGAAATATTTTTATTTTTATTTTTAATCAATATTTTATTGCACTCGTTAGCTTAAACAAAATATAATTAATAAAAAAAGGGAAATATCTATTACTAATTTTAAGTGTTTATGTTTTATTTAAATAATTTTTTTATTAAAATATCCATCCTATTAGTATAATCATAAAAAAAAATATTCAAATAAAAGTTACAATAAATCCTTGAAATTACAACAAACGTTTCTTGCACCCATCTTAATCAGAGGTATGGCATTAAGCATTAAAATCACGACCTGGAAAATCTCAAAAAACTTGAAAAGTTCACGTAAATACTCTCTGAACATAATTTTTTGGGCTATATTTAAAAAGGGCAAACACTGCACAACTCAATTCATCAATGTCAAACCAAAACTTTTCCCATTAAAATTGACTAGTGCTTTAACCAATCTGGTCCTGCCACAGCACCAGCATCTCATGAAACCAGAACACAGTGGACCAACAACCTCCCATTTTCCCAAAATCAATAGTATATACCAATACCAATTAGAGACAAAAAGGAAAGAGAGAGAGGCGTAGAAGGCAACAACCCTAATAAAGAGAGGAGCAACTGCTAGCAAGTAAGCAAGAAAAAGAACTGAAGCAACACCGTAGTATTCATTTGAAGAAAGCTGAAAACTCTCTCATCAGCTTTACCTTTTATCACTTTGCCCCTCTTCATCAATGTCTGTCCTTACCTTTTAAGAACCACTGAATAACTTCATTCCCCATTAACTCTTCCATGGAGTTTGACCTTGAAAACCCTTTGGAAAACTTCCATGACCTTCATTCTAAAGCTGTCTCTTATCTCTTCCTCATTGAATCTGACCACACTCCATCACAGAATCACTTTCACACTCTCAAAGCCAAAGATCTTGACATCTCTGTCAGAAGAGAAGTCATTTCTTTAATCTCACAGGTAAGTTCCAACCCCACCGCACTCCTAAAAAAGAAAATTCATTATTGTTTGAGAATAAGAAAAAGTTAAATTTTTTTCTTAAACACAATCTCACTGTGCATTGGTTGGTCTTGTGTAGTTGTCTTGTACTTTGGATCCACTCTATTCTTACCTTGCCATCAACTATCTGGATCGATTCCTAGCCAACCAAGGGATATTGGTAAAGAGACCACATGTTCCATTCATTTTTTGTTTTGTTTATTTTCATGGTTTGTTTTTAAAAAATATTTATATAGTAATCCACTTTGTTCTTCTTTGTGAATATTAAGCATTATAGAATAATATGAGTTGGAATTTACACCCTTTAAGATCTGACCCAAATTTGGTTTATGCAACAGCAACCAAAGCCATGGGCCCTTAGACTCCTTGCAATCTCTTGCATTTCTCTAGCTACCAAGATGATAAGAACAGAGTACTCTGCCACTGATTTCCAGGTAAAAGCGCTATTGTTCATTCTAAGCAATGTATTGTATTAAGAGAAAAGGTTTCATTGAAGCTGGTTTTATTTAAATTAGGCCCTTTTGAAGCAAAGTGAGGGTGGCATCATCTTTGAGCCACAAACAATACAAAGAATGGAAGCACTTGTTTTGGGAGCTCTACAATGGAGAATGCGATCGATCACCCCCTTCTCTTTCATAACGTTCTTCATTGCCTTGTTGGGTCTCAAAGAACCACCAATGGCGCTGGTTCTGAAAAACCGTGCCGCTAAAATCATATTCAAGTCACAAAGAGGCATGGGAATGAATGAGACATTATTAGTATTTGACTAATACCTCGTTGAATCCTGATTTCTGTTTTAATAATCATTGCGCTTTTTTCTTTTTTGCAGAGATAAAACTTTGGGAATTCAAGCCATCTATAATCGCTGCATCCGCACTTCTCTGTGCTTCTCATGAGTTGTTTCCTTTTCAATATCCCTGCATCTTCGGAGCAATATCCGATTGTTCATTTGTACATCAAGTACAAACTCCTTCCTTATTATTATTCTTGTTATAGATCTTCTCACCTTATTAATTAACATAATATATTTGTATTAGAGAAAGAGATTTAATTTTTATCTAACAAAAGATCATCTTAATTGATTTTAGGATTTATTAATTAAATTTAATAAAAAGTATATGCATAACTATGTCATGTCATGATAATATAAGAAGATTTTAAATTTTATTTTATTTTAAGAATATAATAAATATATTTTTAATAAAAAATATTTTTAAAATACTTAAAATCATATTTAAAAGTTTTGACAAAAGTATTTTTTAATTGTCAAAGTGGATAAACTTGTAGGTTTAGCAAAGTGTACTTGTTAAAGAATATAAAATAATATATATTTTTATTTTAATTCACCTTAGAATACATAAAAAAAAATATAAAAGTGGGTATACTCTGTGTTTCTTAAAATTATTATTAAGATGGAAATGAGTTTATAGATGGTACGAAATTTTTACTGCAGGAAAGCGTGCAGCAGTGCTATAAAGTGATTCAAGACATAGCCATAGAGGAAGAGTACGAGTCTGGGCTGAATGGGGTTTCAAGGTCAGACACACCGGTTAATGTGTTGGACCATCATTTTCTGAGTTCAGAAAGTGAAAAAACCAATGGAATCACCGTTCCTGATTCTCCTCTCAGACAAGAGAAGCACCTCAAAAGAAGGAAAATCACTGGCCCATATGGTAACAATCCAACGATTCACAGTTCTTGGATTTAACTATCCTGCAAAGAGAGTGAAACATTTAATTCTCTGGCCCATATGAAAGCGACCATGTATTAGCCAAATAGCCATATCTCTTGATCTATTCAATCCAAAAAATGGGACAACTTGAAAATTGAAGTCATAAAGTGATGGATATAGTTCAGGGACAGAATCACTGTAACGTGATCGTGGTACATCTGTTTGTTGAGATAAAGAGCAGGCCAAGGAAGATAAGTTGCGGGAATTTTGTTTTTCTTAAACACAAAACAAAAAGACAAAACATAACTTTGAATTGTAGTGCTGAATTTTGTGTCTGTTTTGTGGTTTAAGTGAGGTTGTGCCTCTTGGCTTCTAGCAAAGATTTAATAATTGTAACAGTGTAACAGTGAAGGAACAGCGTTCTCGGAAAATACAATGTGGTACCTTTTAATGTAAATACAATATTATGTGTATATAAATTTGTTATTGTTCCTTCTTTCTTAAGGGAAATTGGGTCAGCGCAATGCAATATGGGTGAAGTATCGTTGCATGAGCATGCATGTACTTTTCTTAACCGGAGATGGAAATGCATCTTTTCTTTCTCGGATTTGCTATAAACATGTTGGGGCAAAAATGGTTAATTATTAATTGGACATAAGAATAGTGTCTCCAGTCTTTATGCAAGGGTCTTTGTCCTTTCCCCCTCGTTTTGATATCTTATTTAGTTCTTTCATGTGTTCTTTCCTTTTGCTCCTAATTTTTAATTCAACAGTTCTGCTTATTTCTGAGGGTTTTGTAGTCAGATTTAGGTCTAGAGGTTTAAAGCCTCTTTGTTATTTTTATTGTTATTTGACCAAGAATCATAGTCTCGTCATTTAAAATTTGATTAACTGTAGTTTCAATGGCTGTTAGTAAGTTGTTTTTTTAATAAAGGATAATTTGTAATATTTTTCGAGATATAAAATAAATTTAAAATGTGAGAATAAATTTATACAAAAGAATTGGAGGATTCCGGTTTGGAGGAAAAATAAATAAATTTGTTTATCTCAGACAAAAATTTATTAGTCACTTTTGCAAATTTTTTTTTAAACTCTAGTCACTTAACAATTTTAATAAAGAATTAATTATTTCTAATTTTATCCTTAAGTGATTATTATGGAGAGAAATCAAAGTAAGAAAAAAAATAAAATAAGAGAGAAATTATAAAAATTATATAACGAAAAATTATATAGTACTTTTTATAAAAGTAAAGTTATTAAATATTTTTTATTTTATTTTATTATATTCTTGTGTCATAACAATTATTTTAAAACGGAAAGAGTATTTTAATGTTTTAATTTTGAGCAAAAGAAATTTAAAATAATTGCAACAGTGGACATAACCATTTATTGTCGAACTTAATCTAAGGTTAATGGTAATATACAGAACATGTATTGATTATGTATGTTATAAGTGTAGATATTTTATATTATAAATTAATTAAAATGTATTATATATATATATATATATATTATATTACTTATTATAGAATTACAAAATTATTAATGACGATAAATAATTGGGTGATATATAGTGTCATTTTTTTACACTATTGTGAATTTAAAACAAATTTATAAACTACTTATATAGTTTGTGTTAGTACATTCTATTTATTTTAGACAGTACATTATCAATGTTAGTGTAAGTAATTAACATATGAGTGATGTTAAAATATGATGTTATGTATAATAAAATAATCCATGTTCATATGTATGATGTATCTTGATGCTATTTAAAATTTTTAATTTTTCATAAAAAGCACGAAGTTGATGAAAAAGCTTATGTGCCACATGATTCTATTTTATTTTTTAATTTAAATTTGTTTAATTAATTACTTAAATTAATTGAAGACTTCCTCTAAATATTATATTTTGATCGACGTATAAAAAATTGAGTTATTTTTATCAATTAAAGTGAGACGTAAAAGTATAGAACGTAATCATTGTTTAAATTAAACTCTAATTTTAAAAGTTTTTTTATTTTTTATTATTAAAATTGATTGAGAGATTCTTCTGAATTCTAAGTTTTGATTGACATATCAAATTTTTGCGTCATTGTATTGACTAAAATAATATATCAAACTGGTCACTTTAAATAACTTGTTTTTTCAATAATAAAAGTTTTATATTTTAACAATGATTGATCAAATTACTTTGGAACTTTTATTCATTAATAACATGACCTCAATCCTAAAAATTGGTTGCATTTGTAGCTTGTGCATAGAGAATTAGATGGATAAAGATGACTTAATTTTAAAATGCAACTTTTTGGCTAAATTTAACAACAATGAAAATACCAATTAAAAAAATAGATAGATAATAGTATTGAAAAGAAAAATAGGTTTGATGGTGAATTTAAAATAAAAATGAAAGTTAGAGGATTAACGTACTATTTTTGTTATATAATAATCATAATATTATGTATAATGAACTTAATGAAGAATAAAATTAAGATTATTTTAAAATGATTATATATAAAATTTATTTATTGAATCTCAAGTTATTATTATTAATGTATAATTACTTAAAAAGTATAAACTAAAAAATAACAGAACCAGATTAACACAATTCAAAATAAAATATGAACTCTTTCTTTAAAATCTATTGAATCTAATTTTTAAAATTTGAATTTGTTAATATTAATTTCTGGTTGACTAGGTTGGTTTAGTGCCCGTATAAGTTTTCCTCTATGAACACTTCTATTTCACTTTAAAAATTTGTTAATAATACACACTTTTGAATATATTTTATATTTCAATTTTTTTTAATATAATACTTATTTTATAAAAGTTTCTTGAAAAACATAAAGTTTATATTATGATAATATAAAAAACTATCATTCAGTTTCAGTCAACGAAACTTTTTGAATTATTAAAAATATTATTAATTTGATTAAAGTTTATGAATGGTAGTATGGTAGGATGGTCCCCATAGCTGAAATTTCTTTATCGAAGATATTTTGTGAGGACATATATTTAGATGTCTGTTCTTGTACCTTAGGAGATGATCGCAACTTCACATGAGGATTTGGGACCATTCAATCGGTTCATTTTTTCCCCTCTGTTTCTGATTTTGTATTTTGAAATAAAGTTTTGTTCTTTCTTCTTTGTTCTTTGTTGTCTTAGGAACCACTTTCAGCTCTTTAGTATATAACTTGTTTATTATTTATTGTGAAATGCATAAACATAAAAACTCAATGAACAACTCAAAGGAATATCATACGATTCAAAAGTTAAACATAGTTTGATATAGGTATAATCTATATGCATAATTTAGCAAATTTTCAATACTTACAATACCCGTTCTATATCAACGTTCTATGGTGATCTAATGTACTTATACAAAAAAGTTATTAATATCTATTTCAATACAAATTTTTTTAACATGGTCTTTATGGTTACATAGAAATAAAATTATATTTTTTAATAGTATTTTAGATGAGAGAAAAGTTCTAGATTCTATTATTCTGAGGTATTGAAAATGACTATCACTTGTTAGTAAGAGAGAAACTATTCTATTAGTTGATTGATATTTGCACCTACGAAATTGCATCCGTCTTAACTTTGTATAAGTATATTTTTATTTTTTATTTCTTTAAGTAAGTAATTTTTTTCTGTGTATATGAGTTTTGAGTTCCCCTTGAACTCTTTTTAATAATATTTATTTTGCCTATAAAAAAATACAATTTTTTTAATTTTACATATATTTTTATTTATTTATATTGATATAAATTTTAAAATTTATTTTCTTAAAATAAAAAATAAAATATTAATTCAATAATGATGAATTTATTAATGAAATATTTAATTTGATATAAGGGTATAATATAAAAATGTAATATGATGATATATAAATGGTTCAATTTTAATAATAATAATCAAATTAAATCAAACCGTAATAAAAGAAAATGATTTCTCTCCATTTTCTTAAAGGAAATGAAAAAATTATGCCAACTAAAAATTTGAAAGTACTAATAATTTTAAAACAAATTTATATTATAATAATGTTAATGTTTGAATGAGAAAATAAATAAAAGAATAAAGAAGATTCGAACTCATGATAAAAATAATGACTTTTTTTTTCCTTTGGACCAGCTTTGTAATTTAAAAATAGTTTAGTTCAATTTTAAATATCCTTATATGAATAATTTTATATTTGGCAATTCCTACTATATTTTTTATATCACTTAATTTATTCTATACTGCTTTCTTTCCCCCTTTGTTTTTCTTCTTCATTGTAAAATGTTGTAGTATTTTATAGTATAAATAAATAACATTATCCAATGTACGTAGGATTAACTATTCGCTTAATAGTGTTTTTTGTTGGAAAAGAAAAAACCATAATCAATTCACACAGTACTTCCACTTGTGTGAGCAAATATACATTTTTACTTTCTCTCTGACTTTTGTTTCTTGTTTTGTCAATTATAAACCAATATCCCAGACTTAGGATTATTTCTATTCGATAGAAGATTTAACAGAGAACCACAACTTGAGTGCCGTTTTCAATGCCAGATGATCAAAATTGAAATAAAAGATGCTTTCTCCTACTGTTGAAGTAAAAGTTTCCTGCGTATTAATTTTACGGTTTGGTAACATTAGTTCTTAGATTAATTTATAAATATGTAAAAGTGATAAAATTTATTAAAAATATAAAATTGACACTTTTGGATATTTAAAATAAATCTAATAACTTTTGTAACACTTTTCTTAATTTTATTAAATACCACCAAAACAAAAAATTGATACCAAGCATGTAATTTACATTCGAATCCGCTGTCAAATTCCTAATGTGAAAGGGCAATAATGCTACATACTTTCTCAAATGACTGCTATAAAATAATAATCAAGATTTTGCTATATCATTAGTTTTGTTATATGACCCATGAGACTAATTTTGGTCGACTTTGATTGTTATTTGGTTCAACACGGAGCAATCTCAGTGGGTTCACATTATGCATGGGTAACCTAGTTTTCCCAATTTTTATTATTTTATATATAAATGTGAAAAAAATTTACACATGTAAACACTTTGTAAAAGAAAGTAATGTGACCATATGCATTAATTTTTCTTCTCTTTAATTACGGTTAATTATTAAATTAATACTCCAAAAGTTTAATGCAAAATAACTGGGATTTTATGGAGACATGAAGACAGTGAAAGACGTAGCAACAATATCCATTCATACGTAACAGATTCACCCATTTGGCATAAAGCTTGAAGCTGATTAAAGCCAAAACCAACTTGCGGGCCTTGTTCATAATTTCTGCACATAATGCATACTCCTTCCATAGTACATCGTAACTAATCCATAATTAAAGAAATTATGCTGTACATTGGAAGGATCAGACTTAAAAGTACACCCCATTTTGCAACAAGCCCAACCTAGTTTATAGACAGCCTGGACCAATAAATTGTTGTGTCATAGACCAACCAACACTGTAGTATCAGGCTCAATCAATGACTCAATTGAGGAAGACCACCTTCATCAACAGTAAATGTTAGGTCCAAATGGGACCATCAAATGTGAACTTTGTGGCCATCAAGAGTAACAAAAGAAGCCAAATCCCATCACCAGCTGAAAACCAGATGCATATTTAATACCGCTCAGTGGCAGTGCAAAGAACCTTGCAGTTGCAGCAAGAGTTTTGGGATGCAGAATTCAATCAAGTATATTATTGGTTTTACACAAGTTGTGTATAGCATAATTAATGTACCATTACCCATACTTAATTTACAACATTACATAATTGGATAGTATGGTGTATGTTGTATGCATGCAGATGCAGGAGCAATTAAAGTCGTGGAACCCATACTCACATAAATTCCGAGGCAGAGAAATACAATATATGAAAGAGAATTTGCACTTGGTATCGTTATTGTATATGAAGTGGTCACAATGATAAGCTTCCAAAATTTCATAAATGTGACAGTGTGATTCCTCGTCTCCATTGGTGGTTGAGTTTAGTAAAATCTAAATCTAAGAGCTTCACAGTTGCAACTGCGCGCTTCATGCGTTACCTAAATGCGTGGCTTTCAATAAGGCATTCTGCATTTAAATTCAAGAATTCCATTAAAGCCAAGGAATCTCTACACTCTGTTTCTCTGCTCTCTATAACGATCAAAATTATTTTATTGCTAAAGATTTTAAACATATTAATCGAGAGATAAGGCTTCAAAGTTCCAAATACATAATATCACTGGATTGTATGTATTTATAACATTAAATTTTATAACTTAATAAAAATTATTATTTATTAATTACATAAAAATGTGTTAAACGTTAACATGCACTTGATAAAACCAACACCACCATGGTTTCTATCAAAATGACTGTGCATTACATGGGGGGTGATGCAGACTATCTTGATATTAATGATTATTTCTCCTGTACATTGTAGCTTACCAAACAACACAAAAATTATCCAGAGGGATTGCAAACTTCATTTCCAAGCTATATCATAAGAGACAAAATTGAATTGAAATAACAGCATTGAAATTAAAGCATATGCCAGTAAACCAAGCTGAGTTGCAGCATACAAAATATATAACTTGACGAATCCATGTTAGACGCTGCCGAAAAATGTTTTGTCAAGGGAGACGAAATCCTTTTCGATGTGAAAAAATAGAAAGTATAACGGTCCAACTGTCACAATTTCACACTAATTTCTTTTTTTTATAAAAAAAATATCAGATCATATTCATGTGCATATAAGTTGAAACATTCATAATCGTTGCCCAAGTAGCAATACTCCCTGCAATTTTCTTAGTAATTTAGACTATGAATTAAGAAATAAGTGTCCCCCCTATGTAGCTCCACCCATTACATTTAATAATCCCAGATGCACATAACTCACACATCAAGTGAGCACATACCCTTCCCACCCAAGAAAATAGAAGGGGTGGATATTTTCTGTTTTTATTTTTAATTATAAAATCTCATCTTATATTATCTTTAAATAGGATGCTAATTTTATATTGAAAAATAAAATGGTGAATTGCATTTTGCTTTCAATGAGGTAATGGGAATGCAAAGGGGCATCCTTTGGAAAAGGAGATGGTAGATGGAGGTGTGTTAAACCGTCCTTTGCCTTTTACCCAAAATTCCAAGGGGAAGAGATCTGAATTTGATTGAATTGAATATAAAATGGTTTAAAGTTTGCATTATTGGGTTACACGAAACCACTTTTGAAAGATGTTGTTTATCACAAGTTTCTACATTCACATTGGATCATTAAAATAAAGTGACTCTGACAATGGCCGTTGGTTGAATGGAAGTTTTCTGGAATCTGCGGAACCCCCCTCACCTGAGAAAGAAGTCAAGAACTACCTCTTAATTTCAACGTTATAATAACTTCTTTCATAACATTTTCTATAAGTATTTATACGCAACAAAAATATAAAGTGAAATAAATCAATTTTTCATTTCTACTTTTCTGTTATTATAAAAAGTCTTTCATTTTTTTTACTTTTAATTATGTAAATTAATTTTAACTCAAGGAATAAATTTATTTTATTTTTTTCTTATAAATATTTAAAATATTATTCAAACTAAGCCAATATAAAAAATATACTTTAAACTCAATAAAATATTTAAACAATATATATTAAAATAATTATTACAAGATTGTTAGAATATTAACTAATACACATGATCTATATGATTAAATTTTTAAATTTAAAAGTTGATTTTCAAAAAATTGTTAAATAGAGATAAGTGAGATTGGTAGAAAAAATAAATAAAAGATTAAAAAATTATTTTTAATAGATTTTTTAGTGACTGATGTTAAATTTAAATATTTATATGATTTAATAATTTTTATAGAGTATAAAATAAATTAATTTAATTGTTGATTCGAATAATTTTATAAAAATTAATGATGTAAAATTTTATATAAAAATAAAAAGTAATAAATATTTCATTATATTATTTTATTTTCACATATAATATATTTTAAAATATATGATAATTCATAAATATCTATAATTATTTAAATTATATAAAAAATATGAAATAGTTCAACGATTAAACTAGTCAATCTTATAGTCTATAAAAAGATTCAGTGTTTAAATTTTACATATAATATTAACGTATTTGACTCTTAAAAGAAACATTAATTAAAATAAAAAACGAAACTACTAAGAAAACAAAATATTACACTCCCTTTAATTTAAAATTATTATTATTTAAAACTTTAAAGTTTTTTTTTAAAAAATTATACATGCCTTTTATTTCAATTATATTAAAATCAATAATTATGTTAATTAATAAATTTTCAGGATTAATCTTAAAGTATAATAATTTTAAAATGAAGAGGGTAACTTAGAATTGGTGTTCATCAAAGAACAAGGCTTGGTTTTTTTCTCCTCGAACTAGGATAATTCAAAGTCGATTTAAACTATATTAAAATAAAAAATTTATTTTATATATATATATATATTTTGCAATATGGTTTAATTTTAATTTTTTATGTTTAAAACCAAATGAAATTAAACTGATCTAAAGTATATTTTATTAAACCTATTTAATCTTTTAAAGAACAATGTAAGGTTATTATAATTCATATGGTAATTTAAATTAAGTTATGGTTCATGATGATTAAATATTTTTAATAATTCTTATATATTTTACTTTTTATTTCATAAGCATTGTTTTTGAAATAAAAATTAGTTAAAAAAATAATGAAAATGAGATATATTTTTTCATACACATTAGTAAAGTTTTATTTATTTACTAAAGATAATATTATTGAAGGTTATAAATATTTACTTTTCTTAGTTACAGACAAATACACTAACTCAATCTCCTTATCTAAGGTTTCAAGTTCAAGTTTAAAATTCCTACTGAAAGAACCCATTTCACCGTGCTAAGAATGTTTCTTACTAGAAAAGTATCTCTTCCAGTGAAAAATATTTATAAAATAATTTTTCTAAAAATTCTTAATTTTGCAGGTATTATTCCACTGATTATTCAATTATTGTGAGATTTTTCAAGTTTAGGAAAAAAAATTTAACCGGAATTAGACATTTTGCTTAACTGTTAATTTCACCTTCAGTAAATCAATGTCGATTGAGGTTAGAATTTGTGTCCTCTTGGAGATCTGGTTTTGGTGGAGGGTGGGGGCACTCAAAGATTATTTATTTATTTTGTTCTGTTATGGGGTGACCCAATAACTTTGGCCCATGAAAACTGACAAGCATTAAACTTCAATTTTGTTTTGTTCATCATGGAATCATGTCTGCTAAACACACCAATTATCTTTTAGAAAAATACAAAATAACCATTGATATATATAAGGATGTTGGGATACATTGGGGGAAAAAAATAGTTCGCTGGCATAACAGTTTGAATTAGATTATAGAAGGCAAAACAGTTTTTCACCTTATCCAAACCTATACCAAAATCATATTATATACTTTGAAAGCATTCTTATTTAATTCTAAAGTAGCATGCATAAATTACTCCTTTTAGTTTTTTTATGAGATATTTTGTACAATCTTTTTTTTTAAGGCACTTTATATTTGTTATGAAACATTTATTATGTTTTTAATTTTTTAAATAAATAAAGTTAGTAAAAACTAAAATTATTATGTTATGATAGATTTAAAATTAAAAAATTAATTAATTTTAATTACTTTTAATAATTGTGTAATTTAGTAAAAGATATAATTCTTATGGTACATCAAAGTATCTCTCTGAGTGCTTGTATTTAAAAAAAAAAAAAGGTTTGAGACTACACTCTGTTTTTGGAATTGAAGACACAACAGTGGAAGGCTATTTGCTGTGTGACTTTAAGGAAATTCGAGAGTCACTTGGTAGAACAACAACTGTTAACTTCTATTACCATAAGAAAAACGGCTCCTCTCTCTCTGCTCCATAACAGGAAATGGGAAAGTAATTCTGATCCAATGCGTTTTCTGAAATAAAGGGTTCAGTCCAAAAATTACTACTAAATGCATCCAATGTTTCCCATGAAGCAACACTATCTTCTTCCCTTGACAAGTTTAAGGTTGATTCCCTATGACTAGAGGAAAAGGAGGGTGAGTTGTCTTCAGGGTAGGAAGTTTCCGAAGACATGGACACTGAACTTTCCAAAATGTGGTGGGAATCAACACTAACACCTTCGCTGATTGGGCCTTCAAATTCTATATACTCAGATTTCAACTCATGACATGTTGTGTTCTCATTGCGCCTCAAGAACTTCTTTAGGTGGCTGTGCCAATAGTTCTTTATCTCGTTGTCTGTTCTTCCTGGTAAGTTCTCAGCAATCAGAGACCATCTGTCACAACATATCATACCAAATGCTAAATTAGTAAATTACCCTTCTTTCAATTCATCTGATAAACAAGAATTGCCTTACAATTGCCGAGGCTCAACATTTGATCCCCTTGTTTTTTCCCAGAAATTATGATCAAATAACTCGAGAACAAAACTTTGGTATAATTTTTTAAAGGACAAAACTTATGTGCTATTTTTAAGTGTTGTTGTTACTGTTTATTATTAAAATTACAGTTATGTTATCACATATTACTACAGAAAAAATATATTTTTATTAATAAAATAACACTAACAACATCTAAGACACTGTACTTAAGTTCTGTTCTTCTTCAAATATTTTTAAGAAAATATCACCAAATCAAATGGTGGTTCGATTAACAGTAGGGGCAACTGATATTCCCTATCCAAAGATTCTGAAGATTAATGAGATGTCACAAGTTCCATACTTATTTCCATGCTTTTTATGCAAATCCGTGATTATTTGCTCTTCCTTCTGGGTATAGTTTCCTCGTTTAAGATTTGGCCGCAGGTAATTCATCCAACGAAGCCTGCAACTCTTTCCACATCTGGCCAACCCTGTTAGAGAGAAGAGAATTACAATAAAAATAAGATGATATGATTAAAAATTAAAACTGATATAGTCTTGCAAATTTGATGCTTGATGTTTGGAAGTTAAGAATTTCATACCTGCAAACTTGGGGAGTTGACGCCAATTAGGATGGCCATATCTTTCAATGTAAGCTAGGAGCCTTTGATCCTCTTCCTCACTCCATGCACCTTTCTTTATTCCATTTTTATCAAAATAAGGAGCTCTTACCATGTTGCAGGAATATCTTTCTCTCAGACCAAAGTTAAGTGGACAAATCAGCTCAAAGCAAAAGAAGATAGAATTCCTCGGTATTAATACTTGGGCTTGAAACGCGTATCATGTGTTCTGACAGCTACAATCATGACTCAACTTATATAATATGTAGCATGATGGACCCCACTTTTTTTTTATTAGAGTTTTTTCTAAACAATGTAATGTCTCCTTTCACACATGAGAAAAAGGGGTTCACAAGTTAATTTGCTGTTGCATCAATATTTTATACTATGTTTGTCCGAGACAAGGACAAATTGTCCATTATAATAAATAGAATCGAAGGAAACGACAGACAAATGTTTTTTCTTTCTTACCCTCGCTCAATGCTCTAAATTTATCCATGTGTAGGAGTGAAGGAAAATGACTTTATTTTTAATACAATAACATTTAATAATCAAATATATTATTTTGATTTTAAAAAATGCTACCAACATGAATAAATAATAAAACACAAATCATGTAAAAAACATGAAATAGTAAACGAAAAGTAGTGAAAAGAGATGCATTATTACAAAATCAGTTAACCTAGTAAATAGTAGGCATAAATTTAAATATCATAATGTAGTAATAAACAATAGTAAAGAATAAAAATACGAAAATAAATAAATAGAATATGGTTAGGGTACTTGGGACAGTATTGATTATTTGATTTTATATTCAGCCAAGTGTTTAACCTTTACATAAAGAATTGTAAAACCAATACTTTTCCCATTTCTTTAATTACGTAGTAGACGTGGCGTGATTGCTTGGCGCAAAGTATAAAGTAAAATGAAAATGTGGGGCCTGTTTGGTATTTGCATTTTTTTATGCACAATGGGGCCTATTTGCCATTGTCCTGATTCATGGAAAGTGCTAGAGGTATTAAATTAATAATTGAGATTAGTGCAAGTTTACTATGATATAATATCTCAGTGTCACAAGAAACCACCCAAAGATGCCTTCTCTATGATAAATTAAATGGCGTCGTTATAAAAACAAAAAGTATATATATTTTTGGCTTGGATCGTTCATTCTAAAAAATTTCAACTCGTGAAGGAAAAAAAAAATAAATAAATCAATTGATATGCTCGGAAGGATTATGTACTGCAGTGTAAACATGTTACACAAATAAACACTACTATTTTATTGCATAATTAAATATTAATAGATATTAGTATAAAACTAATTTACGGTAATTTTTTAATCAATATAATTAAGTTCTACAATTAATTTTCTTTATCTAACGTTCCAAAATCCTTAATTTTCTAATCAAATATATTAAATTTTATTATGAATTTAAGATATAAAATAATTCGTCGAAACCAATCGGAGGGCATGCAGAATAGCAGATTACTCTAATTTGATCCTCACTTAGCCTTATTTGAGAAAATACCAATTAGATATGAATTAAAAATATATTTATCAATGATGATGTAATATTTTAAAAATATATCTATTATCTATCAATGGAAGGTGCCATGATTTAAGAATTGCTTTATGTATCAATTAATTATAAAATGATTATATTATGATATTTCTTAAAAATTAAATATGTTTATAATAAATATTAATAAATTTTTAAAATATTAGGTTAAAATTATATAAAATAATTTTGAAAAAGACTATTTTATAATTCTTAATTAATATTTTTAAGAGATCATCTAGCTTTTAAAATAAAAAAATCTGACGACAAGTAACATCAACTTAATTGCAGAGAGATTAGCTTGATGAAGAATTTAATGTGAATGACCCTACGACAGCGTGGGCAACTTACGTCACGGGTTATGATGTTAGCATCTATTAAAGAACACGATAAAAAGGAGGCAACTCTTACTTTAGTGACAAACGTGCAAAAGACCATTATATCCACAAAAATAATGTGTCTATATATATCACACATTTGAATAATAATATTCACAGATTCCTACGTCATTCGGTGTATTATTTGAATTTAAATAACTTTTTATAAAATATAAGAGTGATTAATTTAATTATTAAATCATCTTATATTATAAATATTAAATTTTATATAATTTAAATATTTATAGATATAATGTTCAAAATTTGATATTTATATATATTTTAAAATATGTTATTAATTAAAATTAAGTAATAAGATAAATTATATGTTAATTTTATTTTTTATAAACTCTATAAAATTAATTTATTTAATAAAAAATTGAACTAATAGTTGGATTAGTTAATTTTATATTTTATTAAAAATTATTAAATAATATAAATATTGTAGTTTGATTCCTAATGTCTTCTACCCAAACGATTATTGACTTTATAATATGTTAAAGTTGTTAATAGATTAGAGACCAGACAGTTGTGAGACCTAAAACTAATTGCTGCACATGATTTATGGTTGAGAAAAATTTATGCATGGTAAAGTTCAACCAGATAATCTCTTGTTAAACAGGTCAATCATATATACATGATCATAAAATAGGGTCTTATAGTACTTAAATACTAATATCTAAAACAATAAGAAGATTTAATGTCAACATTATGTTCATTTCAATTTTTAAAAATTCATAATAATCTCCAAATGCAATAAATTTATATTTTAATTAAAAAAATCATTTGATTGACGCTCAAAAGTTAAAAAAATAAATTAATAAATAATATATTAATTTTATCATGTTTAAAATATTAAAATCAAAATGAATTGATTCTTACAATTTTAAGTATATCTCAGTCTAAAAATAAATAATTAATAATATTAAAATTTATTAAAAATAAATATTCATTAATTTTATAATTTTAATACAATAAATATAAATTTTTAAACTCAAGTTTTGAGCTGAAGTTTGCAAATTTTGATGTTTATCATTTAGTGGTGATTATAATTTCGCGTTTCTTCATTTAAACTGTATTCTATACTTTATTGAGGCAGTGTTGTATGAAAACTTTATTGGTGTATGATAATATATGGGTTGACCAGAACAAAGTAATATTCGCACGTATTATATAGATTATGTTATTAATTATCGACCGCGAATAGCCAGCGTTAGCAGATTACGTCATGGAAATTAAGTCAGCAGTTGTTAAATTTGACGATAAGTAGCATAAATATTTTCTTAATAAATTGCACGTGATTAATATAATCTAATCGTTCAATCAGGACAAAAGAATTGGCTATTAAAATAAGATGACTCTTTAAGGTCTTTTTGTCTTTTGTTGGAGTATTAGCTTAAAATTGTGCAACTCTATCAAGAATCTAATCAGCTGTCTTTGATTCATCTTAATTACTTTAAGAGTTGATCCTGACTCTATCGTAAAAACTAGAGGTGTTAATTTAGTCTTAGGTTTTATAACTTTAATTTTTTTAACTCCATATAAATAAAATGTGAGTTAATGTTAAAGTCAAACGTAGATTAGTCTATATTTTTTTAAAAATAATTAATAAATATTATAATATTTTTAAAATAAAATACACATATGTTATTTATTATTTTATTAATAATTTTATTTAAAATGAATAAAAATATATTTTAAAAATAAATTTTTTACCAGTTTAAAATTAATTAAAATTTAAAATTACAAATATTTATTAATTTTTGTTTAGTTTATAAATTACATTTTTACATCAATAAATATTATAATATTAAATATTATTTATTTACAGTTTTTATGATAAGAATATTGTATTTTTTTAATATATTAAATTTTATTTAAATAAATTATTTCAAACATTTTAATATTATATGACTTAACAAATTTAACTACCGTTATTTTTCGTATTGTCAGTTTTGTATTTCTTTTTGTGGCTTTTAAAATTTGTTATTAAACACGTGATCTTCTTAAAATGATTTATATAAATAAATAAATAAACATATTTTTTATAGAATAATTAATAAATATTTTTAATAAAAGACATGTGTGTTTATTTATTATTTTTATTAAATTATTTTATTTAAAATTATATTTTAAATATAAAAATGTATTTTAAAATATTTTTTTATCAATTTTGTCTAATCAAATTATTTTACTTTAAAAATAAATTATATTAAATTAAGATAAGTCAAAATTTAAAATTTTAAACGTTCATTAATTTTTATTAAGTTTATAAATTATTTTTCTGTATTTATGATTTTTGATAATATTAAATATTATATGTCTATGATTTTCAAAAATATGCAATATTATATTTATATTTTTTTAACACATTAAATTTTATTTAAATAAATCATTTTAAATATTTTAATAATTTGATAACAAATGATTTAATAAATTTAATTAATATTATTTTTTGTGATTAATTTTGTGTCTTTATGGTAACTTTAAAAATATTTATTCAACATATAATATTTTTAAGATAATTTTATAAAAATAAATAAATAAAATATAATAACATAAAAAAATTAAAATATGACAAAATTTATGATTAATATTCAAATAAAATTATAAAATAATATATTAAAAAAATTTATAATTAATAATTTTTTTAAAATTAGTTAGCCCATAAGTTAGTCTTAACCTACTTAATCCTATGAGCTTTTGGATCTTACGAATATTTTTATATTGTAGATTTTTTGGTCCAATAGACCTTGTGGCACTGACTCACATAGGTTAGGACTAAATTAATTAGAGCTAATCCATTTGACACATGTAATAAAAACATGATAATTTTTTGAGTTCTCTAATAATTTTACCAATTTTTTTTATTTTTCATTCAAAATTAAAATTTATTATTTTATTTCAATAATATACTTCTTTTTCAAAATGATAATTATTAGTTAAAAAAACCTGCCTACCTTGAACCAAACCAAACATATAATTGTTTTGACAAAATTATTTTAAATCAACAAATATGTGTAACAAATATAGATTTTTAATTAATTTTAAATAAAATAATTTAATAAAAATTATAGACATGTACACTGCACAAGTACAGTTACTAGTATTTTCATAGAAGTCATCGCAAGAAGAAGAGATTATTATGTGTGAAATATATCATTTTAATGTGTGAAACGAAGAAGAGATTTGATGTTTTATCGTGTGATTTAGACTTAGTGTAGATTTATATTTTAGATTATGTTAAAATTTCTAATTTTAGTGTTTTAAAATTTTTATATTTTAACACTAAATTATTAGGAAATATTCGACCGAAGTTGCTGTGAAAAATGTTAGCGTTATTGATATTACAGTGAGTGTTATTAAAGCTAGAGGGTTAAAATGACAGCTTGCATGACATGATAACACTTAAATCAGCATAACTGAAACCATAATAATGTGTGGAAGTTGTAAATGACATAAAAACTCATTTATGAACAGTTTTGTACACATGGAACTTCAATTCTCTTTCTTAAAGATTCAACAATATTCAACTTAGAAGTTTTTTTTTTATTATTATTTTCCTTCTATAATGTATATTTACTTTGCAAGTTAAGGAATAATAAATCAGAATACAAACATTTTATAAATGTAACTTCTACATTTTAATTTAAATGTAGTTTTTAATTAAATATTTACTTTTGTTTTTAATATTTTTTTGGATTAATAAATCATTAACTATGTTAGATTCAATTTCGTAATTGAAGAATTTGTTAGTGAATTAAATTTTGAAATAATTTACATGGTTGTTGATATTTTACGAATAAAAATAGATAATTATTTTTTTTTGTAAATTTTTTAATTTTAATTATAAAAATTAAGAAAATATGATTTTTAATGTGAAAAAAAGACTAATTATCAAAGAATCAGAATTAGCATAATTTAGTAAATTTTATCTTTAATTTTAATTTGTTGCTTGAAGTAAAGTTTAAAATAGGTATAACTTATTTTTCACATTATTTTCCTTTAGTGGCATAAATATTTCGTCAAACTAAATCAAAATCAGTCCTCCAGTCCTCCTATATGGCTATATCGTATTATTATATGCTGAATGCTATTTCTCATGTGAAACAATTTGTAGTGGGACATGAATCTCTAACATTTCAATTTAGAGCTTCCAAAATACAATTTACTATGAAGATACAAGAAATCAAACAAAGTTTTGAAGATTCTACAACAAATATGTACCATCGAAATTCAAAATCAATGATTCAGCATTACATATCTCATCAGTATATGTATCCTGATCCTCTACGAGGAATGGTTGAGTCCAAAAATCGCCAATGAATTCTTCGTATGTTACCAATGGAGGAGCAGTGTCTTCTTTTGATATGGAGCAGTTTACGGTTGATTGTGCAACGTTAGAGGTGTTGTCGCCTTCTGAAGTTTCGGTGGACACTGTCAACGAGCTTTCTAGAATATGATATAAGCTATCTCCAACATCAGCACATGGGCTTTTAGATTTTACAAACTCATTAGTCTCATTTAAATTTTCCTCAACACTGTTATCATCTATCTTGGACACATATGGTGTGATCTCGTGGCTCTTTAAGCTCTTTTTTATGTGGCTATGCCAATGATTCTTTATCTCATTGTCCGTTCTTCCAGGCAGTTTTTCAGCAATCACGGACCATCTGTGAAGTTAGAGATACTAAATTTAAATCCATATGCTATCCATAAAAATATGTTACATATTATTTATGCATGCACATAATTCAATTACATTTAACATCTCAAATTAATTTTATCATGATAAATTATGCTCAATTTTATCAAGTACTTTTCATATTGTTTTATAACCAAAATGAGAGCTTCGTGTCAATAACACCAAATACACTTATGATACTACATTTTAATTTTATTCCATCTTTAAACTAAACAATCATCACATACTCAACCAATACAGTAGTTAGGTTTATATTAAATTTGAGTTACATCTTAGCTTCCCAATTAATTAAACTATAATTCATTCTTCTAATTTAATCACATACAAGCCCAAAAGGACAAGAAAACATGAAGTACGAGACAAAAATAAATAAATTAATTAGCAAATTAATTGAATTGTGTGCCATGCAATTTTACTTGGACACGCATTCAGATTGTTTAATACTTTTTCAGTTCGATTATGCAACTCATCCAAAGCAGATCGAAATGCATATCTCAAGATCTGAAAATGGTTGGAGAACCCAGAATAGATATACAATAAACTGTTTGTTATATATATTAATGTGTATCATCAACTATGCTCGTTTCCCAGGGACACTCGAATTATGTGATTCAAATAAAATATATAAAAATAATACTGCAAACTTATATACCTATTTCCAAATTCTTGGTGTAATTTGATGATTATTTCTTCTTCCTCTTTGGTGAAGTTCCCATGTTTTAGATTTGGCTTCAAGTAATTCAACCAACGAAGCCTGCAACTTTTTCCACACCTTGCTAAACCTGTAACAAAACAACACTGAAGACTTATCAACATGTACATGAGTTCTAGTAACCAATAAATCCCAATTTTTTTTTTCTATTTCTAATTCCTTAATATATTTTAACAACGGTGAAAATAATTCAGGCAGCAGGGGGTTTAGGATAGTTGAGTACCATGGATACAAACGTCATTAATCAAATTAAAAACTGAAAATATAATTATGATTAATTAATACTACTAAATCAAAGTTTTGGTTGAACTGGAAATTTCAAAGCATATAATGGAGACTGAACTAATTCTTACAACAATACCTGCAAACTTGGGGAGTTGACGCCAATTAGAATGACCATGTTTCTGAACAAAAACTCTTAACCTCTCATCCTCTTCTCTACTCCATGCACCTTTCTTCAGTCCATTTTTGTCATAGAAAGCAGCTCTTACCATACCTCTTAAAAGTTAGACTTTTGGTTTATCCGAAACAATAACCAAGCGTACAACTCAAAGCACCGTTTTAGAAATTATCAGCTTTTTTATACTATATATTGGGAATTATAAATTAAAACGCGTGCTATATCTACCGGTATTATAGTAGTACTGTTCATTAATCAACCCTAAATAAAAAAAATGGACCAAAACCCCATCTAGGTCTGGCATATGCTATTTCTTTATTACAACCAAATACCGAAAAAAAGTCATGCTAACCAGTGTTTAATTAAAAATTATTATTATTATTTTATTATAAATTTGAATACAATTTTAAGGTAAATTTAAATTTAAATTTTTATCGTTTATTCTTTAATCAGTCCCGTTAACAAGTTTAATTTCTTGATATCATTCAGAATTATAATAATAAAATTAATATGAATGCCTACCAAAAGATCATAGAAGTCCAGGGATTGATTATTACTCAAGTTAGAACGCAAGTGATATCTTGGCGACTTTAAGAGTCTGAACATAATTAGATTAATGAATGGAATATATATATATATATATATATATATATGTGTGTTTTTAAACTATGAGGATAAATAAATAAATAAATATATTTATTTATCCTCATAGTTTAAACACATTGAATTTACATCACTTTCTTTGTGTAAGAGTAATCAAATTACCAGCTGTACATATTGGATAATTAAATGTCAACCTTTCACATACAGTCGTACTCTAGCCTGAATACTTTGTATTGAACTTTAAATCGCAATGCTTCCCTTGGTCCTATGCCATTAATAAAGCACACATTTATACATGATATTTTTTTTTCCAAGGTGCGAAGCACTGCTCGTACTTTGTGGAACATAATATTTAATGGAGTAACAATCAAACAATAATATAAACACTGCAAATTTATATTAATAATAAGATACGTTATGTAAACAGATAATTTGAATATTATTAAAATTTATCATTAATAACAAAAATATTTTTTAAACAATAATATAAACACTGCAATTTTTTTTATTATGTCTTATATCTTTAATTGATTTATTCATATTTCATACAATAAAATATTTATCATTAATAATAAAAACATTTTTAAAAAAATATAAAATTTAATAAATTTTAAAATAATTATGTAAGATTTTACTTATTTTTCATTCAAAAAATTATTTTAGTTCAATAATATTTATATAATGCAGAAGCAACATTGGTTAAAATTAATTTTATAAAATTAAGGTCATCCTAAATTTAAAACAGTAATTGGATAATGACGGTTTGAAGGCTGGCGCAAGGATAATAGATTAGCTTATCCTATCACTAAATTAAATAAAATTTAAAGCATCGATGGAGACGAATAAGAACGTGGGATAATTAAGGTTCAGTTTAACTTTCAAGACTCGCGGGTCACCAGGAATTAATTAAACTCGTTCATTAGATGAGGTTCCAACTCACATGCGAGTTATTAAGGTTTCACTGTTTATTAACAACAAACTAGCACGTTTTAAATTGAGGTAAAATTAAAAATTAAAATAACAGTACTTCAGAAAAATAAAATTATTAAAGGGGATTGGATTAAGTAGAAGAATCTGATTTTTTTTACAAACTCGTCGTCATTTATGATTTGAATTCTTATCAACAGAGATGTTCACAGATAATATATAATTGTGCCTCAACTCAAATTACTTCTTATACTGTTGAACTGTGGCAAAATATTACATATTAATTAAGAATTAATAAAGTATAACAGGAATTGTATTCATTGTTCACTATCGGAATTTTATTTTATTATATTAAAAATAACTTTTTTTTTTGCTTTTTTAGCCAGTGGAATATAAAAACATTAATTAATTAAATTTTATAAATTTTTAAATTAAGGTAATAATTATGTAGATAAATTATGCATAACAAAATAACAAATAATCTTTATATTTATTAATTTAATATAACTTGTCAAAATAAAAACATTTGGAGATGAGTAGAAATTAGAATTAACTAAATTAAAACATTATTTTTAGAGATGAGTAAAAATTAAAATGTAAAATGTCTAATATTAGAGCAAATACATGGTTTACTAAGAAAAGAGTGAAAACTCTTTACAAGAAATTAGAATGAGTGCCACCAAAACTTTATAATATAAAAGAAAATCACAGGTGGATTCATGAAAAGGAAGAACAATGCTTATGTTAATAACAAGCTAGCAAGGTGATTGAACTAGTTCTTGTACATAAATGAAATATAATATATGTTAAAAAATCATTTTCAACTCTAAGAACATAGCCAGGCATATTTGAAATTCATTGGCGTATCAATCGCAATTGCATATCCTTTCTCTTGATTGAGAGATTTGAGAGCATACGCAAATAACCTACAAGTAAACAGAAATAATAGGGCTCAATTTTTGTATTCATTAATATTCGGGACGAAATTAAGAAGATAAGAGTGTAGAATAAGCATACAATAATTACTATGCACTGTCTCAAAGTCAAAGATTTTCCCAACAATATATATACCATGAAATATGAATTCAAAAACTGCTGCACATAGGTATAGCTATCTTCTACATTTTCCATCACATTTTCATATAAATATGAAACTCTACCCTTAGGCCTAAGGCACCTGATTGATTATCAAATTCTACTATGCTTCAAAGTGTCTTCAAAGTGTTTTGTCTGTTACACCCCCCTTTCTCCCACCACAACCTATTACCTATCTAACACTGTTCTAAGCAGATCTTAAGTCCTTTTGTACCACTTGTTGCATCCTTATTTCTCCTCTCATACATGCACCCACATAAACCCCCTCAGCCCATTTCTTACCATCTTACTGTCTTTTTCTTTTCTCTTACAGACGTGTGTTCAGGTCCACTAGGAATCAAACATCCATGTCAACCAGGAAAAGAAAAAATAGGGCGAGGTAGGTTTTGTGTACCCTGTTCGAATAAAAAGAATACAATAAAGAAATTAAAAACATTTATTCTTAGAATATTATGAACAACCGAGTATATATTATATAGTACCATTCACAAGTACTAGTAAAATAACATCAAAAGCTAATAAGAAATGACACGCTATTCAAAAAGCAAACTTCTTCACGCAATTCCTTGAGTGTTGTTTAGAGATGCTTCAGGAAGCCATTGACATAATGGGCCTTCCCCTTGGAGGCTATCAAGTAAGATGCTTAGATTGGGAATATTTTGGTTTTAAGGATTTGAGGTGCTAAATTTATCAATTTCAGAGACAGTTCTTTCTAGTTAAACCACTTTATCCAACATGAAGGCCAATATGTGCATCCCGTTTCACCAATATCGACACACAAGTGTTTTTGTTAGCAAAGATAAAGGTCAAGTGTTTTAAGATTGACTAATGATTATATTTATATTAGGTGTTAATAATAATAATAATAATTATTATTATTATTTTAATTTAAGGACTATTTTAGTTACACAGGCAACTATAATGGATAACTTTCTAAACCCCATTACTTTCACATAATTACGAGAAAGCAATACTTTAAGAGTAATTCAATGTAATTTTTAATAAACACTTTATTTTTATTCTTTAACTAATACTTTAAGAGTAATAATTATTAAATGTTATTTAGTCTTTACATAAAAATTCTTGTAAAAATGAAAAAAAAAAATCTAAAGTGAACAATTTCGCATAATTACCAAAACATAGGCATGGTGAGCTTTTTCTTTCAATTTGTAGAATAAGACATTCGCAAAAAGTGTAAAACTAAGACTAAAAAAAATGGTTCACTTGCTAGAACACTTCAATAGAGTTTACTGAAGATTAAAAAGCAAAGAGTGAAAGAGTTGAATTAGTATCTGGATGGAAATAAATAAAGTGTATGTGAAAGAGAAGTACAAAGATATAAAAATGCACAGTAAAACAGAATAAAAGTATTACTTTATTTTGTTTCTTTAATTGTTTGATTTAATATAGCAATAATAATGCTTAAGGCTTGATTTAGATGAGGTGAAATAGAAGAATGAAATATGGAATAAAAATATTTTACATTTAGATAAATTGAAATAAGAAAAAAGATTATTTCACTTATTTGAATAAATAAATGATTAAAAAAGTAATTAAATTATATTAAAAATAAAAAAATATAAATATTTTTTTTTTATTTTAAACCCTCCTCCTCCGTCATGCCATCCAAACACAACTTTTCATCTACTTTCTCCCTCTTTTCTCCTCTCTCGTCTCCCAATTTCACAGCTTCCAATCAAACACTAAAAAAACATTTCAATATAGATTAAGCACTTTAAGAAACGAAAAGGTGAAGAAATATATAGTTCACGATCTGGATTTTCTCAGTTTGTGGCGGGAACTATACATTTAGTTTAATTTTTGTTTAAACAAAAATAGATTCATTTAAATAAAAATACAAAAAATAACAATTTTTTTTTATGTAAAATCAGTTTAAGCAAATTTTGTGCAAAAATAAGGAGAGTAAATGATAAAGGAATGATAGTGGAAAGAGAAGATAATGGAGAGTTAGATATGGAGAGAATCTAGATCTATAGTTCACATGTAAGGAACTCATTGTATGGAAGCTTGTTAAGACAAATTTTAACAAATATATAATAAATTTTAATATTTTTTTATTATATATACTAAATATAAAATAGAAAAATATTTTTAGTCTTAATAAAAATAATATTGAAATAGATTTAATTGAATTTAATATTTTATATGTCAATAATAAAATAAAAAACTATGAGTTGAAGAATGTACTTAGTAAGAAAGTTATTAAAATTAAGTAATTAGCTAATATTTAATAGTATAAAAAAATATTACATGCTTTATAAATTCCGTTACCATACGATTTATTAAATATAGTTGATATAAATAGTACAACTAGGACTATACAGAGTTTTTTTTTTTTTTTTTTTTGAAGTAGGAGTATACAGATGGATGGAAGAGAAGAAACTTGAAACATGTCACTGGCTCTGTGATTCAGTGAACCTTGGGCTCACTTGCTGCCTGTTGCTTAAACTGTGGGCCCATGAGCCCAACTTATTATATAACTTGTTTTCTTTTCTTTTCTGTATTCCTTTTCTTTTTTACTTTTACAATTTTTCAAATGAAAGACATTCATAGTTTAGATAGAAAAATTTATTAAAATTTAATTCTTAGAAAAGAGTTTAATATATTTTAGAAAATATTTTTAAAAAAAATAGAAATAATTTTAAATTTTAATTTTTAATTTAGTTATCAAAATAATTTTAGTGAAAAAATGTGTATATAAATAAAATTTTGTAATTACATATGAGTTATCTAGTGCGAGGCAAACACATGAGTAGGAAACGGGAAATGAATATTACTTTGTCAGTGTCGCAGACAATTGAGTGATGAAAGCTAAATTGCTTTAAATTGCTTTAAATTGCTTTACATAGCACAAGCAAAACGTGTTTCATGCTTCTCCAAATATTCAAACAAGTGTTAGAAACAACGGGCGTTCCGAGAAGGAGAACGACAGCGACGAGGAGAGTGGAAAGACTCAGAAAAGTCATGGTCAAGCTGCTCCATGCTACTATATATGTCATTGTCACTTGAAATCACTTTTATTTTATTCAATGCAAATTAAAAACAAAAAATTTGATCACTCATCCTTTGGCTTGGGTGACTTTAGTAGTTCACTTCATACTCGGAAAGGAGGAAAAAGGGAACCAAAACGACCAGTTTAGAATACGGTCTACGCCTACGTGTTTTGCTGTTGTAGATCGTTGGTGGAACCTTCGTTCTAGTCTAGTGATTTACATCAAAGCACGTTTCTATAATGATTAATCAATTATCTATCTAAGCATTCATTAAGTCATCTACGCAAGTCACTAATTCGATAGAGTGATACAATGTGAACGCGCCCAATACATCAGCATATGACGTCAGAAGTTATAATATTATATCCTTTGAATCTTACCAATAATAAAACAAATAAATTTAAATAATGATTATAATCAAGAACGTGTGATTATTGTCTTTTGATTAATTGCTGGTTTCAAGGAATCACCTTGTTATAAGCATTCAGTTAAAGGTCGTCCATTTATTTATATATTGAGTCAGACCCACGTGCTAATAATTAAGAATCAGCTAGGAACCCTTCTTTTTAATCTATTGTCAAATTAAACAGCAAAATATAAAATTATACGAATAGGACAATAGATTATGGGCACTATACAACACACTCTGTTTTCTAATAAACAGAACATATGCTATTTGAGGGTTCCGTGATGGCCCTGAGTACATCAGTTTATGATTTCATTATTCTATTTTAGGATTACAAATTCTAGAATTTAGGAGCTTAATCTTTAACAAGCTCGTGCTCAAAAGTGTTGCTTATTTATCTCCAAACACCAATGTGAACAATCTGTATCCTTAAATTTTTAATTCTTAGAAACCGTGTCAAAAACCACTCCTTTTGAAATAATAACCGCGTCTTCGAACATTATAAATTGCAGCATGCATGTTTGATCTTATTAACATCTCTAGTACGATGAGGTTAAACCAAGGTTGACTGTGATGATAATTACCATCAAGTGCATATTCAAAGCTGAGCGCTTAGACCTATTTGACACGCGGTTTAGTTATATAACAAGATGATGAAGGGTAAACCCTAACTTAGTGATAATTATTTTTCTTTAATTAAAATTGGAATTTATCTTAATAACTCACAGTAAAAGCTAATAATAATTATACTAAGATAAACTTATAATTTAAATGAAAGATAAAATAATACTACAAACATTTAAAGTATTGTACAAAAAATTCAGATGAGCTTTTGGCCATTGTATAATTTCATGAAAAAAGAGAGAGTAAAGAGTGACTCCCTTTTATTTCTCATTTTTTATTTTTTTTATTAAGTTTGCAAAAGTTAAATAAAAAGGGCCAGCCTAAAATCTCTAATCGAACCAAACTGAATAAACATAAGCGAATTGATTCAGTTCATATTGACCAGAAAATTTTTCTTAAATTTGAATCAAAACTAACACTATGTTTGCATAAGTAATTTTAAACTTTCAAAAAATTCAAACAATTAAATTGATGTATTTTAATTTCTATCATTTACAATTTTTTTGTTTAGATACTAAATTGTAGAATTAAAATTTGAAATATACGAAATTGGACATGGGTCGTAGGTAGGAGTCAAATTAAGATGTCAAAGTGCTCAAATTCAATGAGAGCTCTCTATCGAACGCAACCATTGTTGTTATTTTTAGTGTGACAAAGATCATTTGTCTGAATTTTCCGTTGCAGATGTTGCCAACTCTAGTGACAAAAGAGGACACATCTAATTAAAATCATTTGGAAGAAAAATAATCTCTAGAACACTTTGTTAATGAGCTCTTCTCATGAAATCTATGAATGAGTTGTTAAGCTGAATGATGTTGAGATAAAGATCTATCATGACAAGATTATGTTAACTGATGAGGAAGAGTGGTGAAAAAGAAAATAGAGAAATTTACTAAGAAATTATGAAGTTCACACTATAAAATTGGTATTTAAATTTACTATTTTCACTTTAACAAAATACTTGACAAAAATCTCAAAAATTTTAAATTCTCTTAGTTTCGTATTCAAACAAGTATTTTAAACAAAAATATTTTAAATTCTCTTAACAAATATGCTACCTCTTTAAAATTCTTTATTCAAACACATGCTAAAGGTGTTTTGATTAACAAATATCTTATTTATATATAAAATTAACATAATATACATTTTTAAAATAAATAAAAATAACAATTTAACTATATTTTTATAATTATTGAATTTTAATAAAATTTAATTTAAATAAGCAAATTAATATATAACTACAATTCAATAATCAATTTATAAAATAATTACTCTATATAAAGTTATTATTAGTATAGAAAATAGTGTAACTCACTTTTGTGTAATACTGCATATATTTAATTAAATAAGACTACTATGAATAATAAAATTATTCTTATAAATATTTAATATATGTATTTATTGATATTCAAACTTGAGATAACAATTAAGTTAGAACAACTTTTTCTTAATCGATTTTTATGTTAAGTAATTTATTTTAAAAAATAATTTAACAAGTGTGAATGTCTTAAAATAATCAAGTATAACTTGCTCCAATTAAAGAAAAAATAGTATAACGAATAGCAAAAAATAAAATAAAATAAAATAATAGTATAACTTAACGGCTTAATTACTATTGTATATTGCTTATTTTTTAGAAAAAAAAAATATGTTAACGAATCTCTCTCTCTCTCTCTCTCTTTCCATAGATGTGTACCATTGCTTAGTGAAAGCATCATCATACACAAATATTTTCTTGACCTACATCAGCTAGCCAACACATTTTGAGTGTCGGGTTCTGTTTAGTTAGGAAAAAAAAAAAACTTTTTATTTAAACTTTAAAATAGAGGTTTAAATTCAACTTAAATTCATATTACATCTAAATAATTAAATTAGACCAACTCAAACTTAATCAAGAATAAATCTATCAAAAATACTCAAAGTTAATTTAAACTTAAATTTAAAATACAAACTCTATTATTTTACGAGGCTTAAATTGATTAACCCTCGAACTAAGATCATTTTACTGATTTTACCTTTAAGCTATCAACTAAACGAATATAGGGATCGAGTATGAAACAAGATGATTGATGCTCAGCCTCAACCTCGATCACAAATTAATAGTTAAAAATAATAATTAAAACGCAATTACATTAAAATTCTCCCGTGAATTTTTGTAAATTGTTTGTGTGTCGACTAATTATTTAGATCGTGCTAAATTCGTGCTAGTAATCCTTTATCGATAAATAAATTGCAAATATTTTTATAAGCCAGTCCTAAAATTTATGAGAAATTTTCCAATCCCTTAAATTCTTCTAATAAAATGTCATCTTTTTACCAATTGGTCGCACACTTTTTTTTTTTCCCTCGCAATACTCTTACTATTTCATAATTTATAGAATAATACTGGAAGATAATCTTGTTTATTAACCTAATATACATGTCTCGAATACGTAACAATCATTTTATTTTATTCAAGAGATAGGCTATTGTTTATATTGATACTCTCAAAACTATTAATCTCTGAGCATGTAGTAGTTTTTATTCATTAGAATAAGCTAAGGTGTTCATCATACAAATTACTTTGACCCCACAGATCAGCGTCGTATACGGTAGAAAAATATTCAGATTCTGCCACGGAGGGGACCAGTAGTTCGCTTGGAACATGGGACATGTCAGCAACATATGGCTGTGTCCAAAAATTATCTACTGTTGGTTCTGTGTATGCATCGAGAAAGCTTCCAAACTCATTCTCCACAACCATGCTTTCGCTGGTAGATTGATGGGGTGATAGTGTACGAGAATCAAGGATCTGGGTAGCATCTGTACTTTCAAAAGCACCGTTAATATCACTTGGCATTGTTGTGTTGTTGGAAATGTCGTCCAGATATAGGTCTGTCCAGAAATTCTCACTCACTGGCTCTGTGAATTCATCCAGAAAACCAAGGTCATCTTCAAACATAAAATTTTCGTTACTGGCTGCTGTGGAATGATCTGAGCTTATGGATGAGAAGTCGCTAGAGGATGATAGTGGTGATAATGAACCTGTATTGTCTGAGATCTGTGAAGTAGCTGGAGGATTAACTTGCAAAACTGTAACACCATTGTTGGACACCGTGTCTTTCCCTTTCTTGGATTCTTTATCTTTTGTTTTGGAGGCTTTGACTTCTTCATTTGTTACAGTGTTCTCTTGAAATCTCTTCTTGAGGGTTGTGTGCCAATGATTTTTTATTTCATTATCAGTTCTTCCTGGTAACTCAGCTGCAATGGCAGACCATCTGCAAGAAGGGAGGAAAATTGATCAATTTAAGGTTCCACTTTTCTTATTGACCCATTTCATGTTATATAAGACTCGCTTGATTTATAGGAGGGCTTAATTTCATTTGGTTATGGATATATTTATATTAGTCCTATATATATATATATTTAGTCTCCTAGCACTTGTTTATTTGCAAACTTGTGCGTGGCTGTGGAGAATTGAAGCTAGCTTGCAATAGTTTACAGAATGTGATCATACCTATTACCAAGTTTTTTGTGCATTCTAATGATGCGCTCTTCTTCTTCTTGAGTGAAGTTTCCTCTTTTGATGTTCGGCCTTAGATAATTCATCCATCTCAATCTACAACTTTTCCCACACCTTGCCAGGCCTGAAAACCAAAACACCCGAGGATTATTAAACTTCACTAAGCTTAATTAATTAACTTAATATTCACAAGCATTCAATTACACGTTTCAAGGTCAATTACCTGCAAACCTGGGAAGTTGGCGCCAATTCCAACAACCATACCTAGTGACATAAGCAATTAACTTCCTATCTTCCTCCGGAGTCCAAGTACCTTTCCTGAGTCCACTTTTGTCACAGGAAGGGGTTCTCACCATCTTTGTGAGAAACAAGTGCACTTGGATGTGTGAGTGAGTGTTTGTTTGTATGCAAGATGAGAGAGATTTTGGTTCTGTTGGTGATGAATGTGAGGGAGAGAGAATGGTTTCTCTGCGTGGACCAGTCACTTATTTATACTCCGCGCGTTCACATAAGCAACGTGTTTCATGCTCAATTCAATTTTTAAAAATCGATAAAAAAATATTCCTCTGACTTCCAAATAAGGGTCTTTTCTCAAATGTGCCACCAAAAAAAAAAAGTGAAGGGTCTTTCTCAGCAGATACAAACTGCTCAAGTCTGGTACTGAAACCAGTCAAACTATGTGTTTCTTCTTCGCTTTCACATAAAAAGATTAATTAGTGACGCAGTGTGCCACCTGCTACTTCTCTTCCGGGAAAGTAGCACGAAACTTTGTACCCTTCCAAAACCTTGTGCAAATCAACACGTGGGGCAAATCCACCAAGACGAACACGACCGCGAAATTACCGTCAAGCCATTTTGCCCGAGTTTTCCACAAAAAAATAATAATTCAAAATTCAAAAATATTTAGAAAATAAATATTTTCGTAAGTATTTGTTGATCATATATTTGGGCAGGGAAAATAGCTTACAGGAAAAAAAATAATTAAACAAAGTTAATAACTAATAAAACAATTTTTTCCATCAAAACAAACGAAATCTAGTAAACTTTTCTAGTCAAGGAAGATCAAAGTCTATCTTTTCTTTCATTATTTAAGAATATTGCCACTTCACAAAAGGAATTGAAGCTACTTTATCTTCTTAACGTAAATTTCCTTTGGAAGCAGCATTTGTGAGGCCAAATCAATACTGAGAATTAATCCTCATCAAAATAATTACCGATTAAAAAATATTATTAGGGAATCTGGTGTACATTATGTTCTTTTGGTAAATTCCTACTTTATTTTGTTAATAAAAAATTAATTATTCTGTGTAATTTTTTTACAATTTCCAAACATAAATTAAATGTTTTAAAATTATTTTTTTCTATTTTTATAAAATAGTTTTGTTAAAATTTCAATCGAAAAGATTCGTAAATAGGATAACAAATTTCAGGTTATAACTTATACAAACTACTCAGATTATTGATTAATGACGTAGTTTAAAATTCAGTAACGTGACTTTTTTATCCTCAAATCATGCAAAGTTGTATACATTTAACGCTTTGAGTATACGTAATCTAAAAGAAGCTTATTCTAAATCTTTCTACAATATATCTTTCTATTATTTCTCCTTGTTATTAGATAATATTTGGTTTTGATTTTTACATTTTTAAAACATTAAATATATTTATTTTTTCATTTAATATTTTATTTAATAAACATAATTTCATTAAAAATTGTTCTGAAGATATTAATTAAAAATTATTAAATAATTTTTTATTTAAAATATCTTAATAATAACACTTTCTCATAAAAATCACATTCAATTATTTAATCAATATTCTAAAATAACTCATTAACATTTTTTGGAAAGTATTAATAAGATTAATAAATGGATATAATTGTAAGAGTTAATATAATTCATTTTAGCCGGATTTTGTTTTTACTAGCAAGTAATGGTTAAAGTGTTAAAATGATAAAGTTAAACAAAATTAATATTAATAAATTATAAATTTAAGAAAGCATACAGTATTTACTTTAAAAATCCTGAACACGAACTTATATATTTCTCCAATTATAGACACAACTTGTTTGGAAGTTGGATAAATAAGGACAGAAAGGGTCATGGTAGAACTGTTTCGTGTTTCTTATCTTTTCCTTTCTAATATTTCGTTTGATTTGTTTGTGTACCGAGGAAGTTTTTATGTCACTATGTCATAAAAAATGTAAATGTTTTCTTTCAAAATAACCTAAGATTGCTTATTTTTTTGCCTTGAGCGTTCACATTTAATACCATCTGATCGTAGTTTGCAATAAATATGATGTTGATAAGGCGACGAGAATTAGCTCCACGTCCATGCCCTACAAAAATATTAAACCCAAAAACTTTTACTAACAAAACTACATAATTAACTTCAGCTAAATGACATTCGAGCCACACAGCTAAACTACTAATTCTATCAAGTTTCAAGCTTTTAAGGTACACTAAAGAGTTGGTGAGAATAGTAGCTAATTTTAAATTATTAAAATTTAAACTTTAAATTTGAATGTTAAATTTAAAATCTAAACATAAATTATTCTTACTTTTTGATTCTAATTTATTCAGTTAAGAAAAAGATTAAGGGTGACATTAACAACAATGATAATGACAGGAGGACAGTGGCAAGGCAACTATGGAGGAGACATTGAATTAGTGGTAATCACAAGCTAGAATGGGATTGGGATTGGGCGTTTAAATTATGATAGGAGAGGTATTACCCTATTAATTAAGAAGTCCTTTTGTCACGTTATGCAAACACAGAAGCAGAATAATTCAGACGTTGATCAGAATGAGGATTCCAAACTGCGATTATAATATATATATATGATTCATATGTCGTTTATAGGATTTCAAACCATCACGTGCTAATTGATAGAGTCAGGAGTAGAAATATTTTCAATTCCACAGAGAGGTCAGTTTATGGATACTCAGTCTTTATTTATAATTAACTTACGTATCAAAACAACGCGGTTTCTTGCATATAAGTTAGTAAAATATGTATCGGAATAAAAAGCTGGACTCGTTCCAGGGATTTGAAAAGAAAAATTAGGGTACTTCGGGAGCAGGCTTTGTTTTGTGTTAACTAATTAACCAATTAACCAATTTGATTACCATTTTTCTAATTAAGAAAACTTTCTTATTCTTTAATGAAAGTCCGTGGTCAAAAGTCTTGATAGCTCACAAGAAATTTTATGTTTACTAATTAGGTTTCTCCAACTAAGTGCAGTCCATATTATGGTCTGAGGTATTAGCCTCTCCTCAAGGAAGAAAATTACTTAGCTCTTTTTTATTTTTTAATGCAATTTGATATTACGAGGCATGGGATTTATGAGTCACGTTGGTTTTTGACTTGTGAACTCTGATAATTGAAAGCGTGTCTAAAACTAATTCTCAGTAGAATTCAACTAATCCATTTTTATGAAACTAAATTTTCAACTTACAATTTAAGCATAGTTGACTCAATAAATAAAAGCCCGTAGTAATTAATTAATGACTTGCCATATAATTAACACTTCTTTATTTAGCTTATCAAAAGCACACATACAAAATTTTAAGCATAAGATTTTAACATAGAATTAAAACACGCTTGACTATATAAAATATCATAGTGAACATGACTTGTCATACAAATAAAACTTTTGCCAGGCCAGCAAGCCTTTTGAGAATCAATGACATATTAATTTACGTGTATTCTTTTATTGTTAATAAATGTTTGTTGCTTAAATTATCTTGCTAACGAGTGTTTAGCTGATACTATATTAATTAAATATTTTTGAATTTTAAAAATATGAATAATAAATGTTTAAATACTTTCAGTATGATAAAAAATTTATTAAATACTTTTAACTTTTGTTTCCTCAATAATTCTTTTAGGACACTCATTAGCATTATTTTTAAAATTAAATATTTCTTTAAAAATAATAATTGCAAAAATTAAACAAATAAATATAATTATATTGAATTAAATTGTTCGTTGTCTAAAAAAAATCTTTTAACAAGTATATTGAAGTTTATTTATCGTTTACTTTTTAAAGTTTTAAATCCGTCCTGCTCAATGTCAGAAGTTGACAAGCTTTTAGTGGTATGGGCGATAACACAATTAAAAGTGTTTATGATTCTTCTTTTTTTATTTTTAAAGTAATAAAAATCCACATATTAAAATAAATTATGACTCAGTTTAGATAAAATTTAATATAATGTTAAATTTAATCAAAAGTTATTTACATTGCATTAGATAATTTAGTTACTTGTTATTTATTTTCCTAATATAATTTAAAATACTGTACATGAATATATCAGAGCTTTTAAAATAGTATAATTTAGTTTGTACATTTTTTCTTCTTCGTGTCTAATATGCTTTTCACATAGTTTTCTTAGAGAACTAACTATTTCAGTAACTAGTTTGCTTCACATTCCATTTAAGTATACGACAGGAATTGGCTGTAAAAAGCTGAATTTACTTATTCTGAGTACTAATCGAGTAACGTGCTTTTAGCATTTAAACAATGCAAAGGCATCAAGCATCATTTTATAAGAATGTATGTAATGATATTGATTCTAAATTTTCTTTTATTGACAACCTTGGGATTTGAGTAGTTTTAAATCATAATACACGTGTATACACATTATCCACACGGTTATTGGTATATTTAAGATGCTATGTTTTTATAATTATTTTTCCAAGTAAAATTTAGGTTAAATAATTCATTTAGTTTGTAATTTATCGTGCGATTTGAATTTTTTGTTAATTAAAAGATGCTTTTAAGATTAATTTAGTTAAAAATAATAATTTTTATTTAACTTTGTCATTTTCAATTAATGAAACACTTTTATATCTTGTCAAATATTATTAAACTCATATTTTTCGAATAAATATTTTATTATTTAAAAATTCTTTAGAGTTATGTTGACCTATGGTTAATTTCATCGCATATCTCTCCGTGCCATATTCTTTTGTTATTTTATTTTATTTTTGGTCAAATCAAATTCTTTTTGTTTTAGGGAATGTTCTTTGTTTTTTGTCAAGTTTTAGGGAACGTTCTAGAATAAGGTCTTTAGGGTCCTATATGAATGGACTAGCCAACGACCAAAAGATTGGATTGGGTCACGTACTTTGGATCTTAGCCCATCCCATGTTCAACCAAATTTTACTATGATATAGAACTTTTTCATAGTCTATGAAAAAACCATTAAAGGCGTATCTTTTTCCTTTAACTTTTTACAAGAAATATTTGCATTTTTTTTTTCTAGAAGAAGCTCTTTTTGAAAACTGAAAAAGAAAATTACTTACTTAGAATAAAACAGTTTGAACATGAATTAATAAATGTTTTATTTTGTTATAATGTCGGAGAAAGAGACTGAAAGGAAAAACCAAAGCAAGAAAGGAGTGAAGTGGGAGAAGATGATGCACTTACAGTGGGAAGACATTGAAAGACTTGGGCATGCAATGACATCTGAACAAACACTTTAGTTTTCTTGGAAAGTCATGGTCAAGCAGCTGCGTGGCTTGGCGATCTCACGTTTGTTTAGCTTTTTACCCTTTGTCCTCGCGTTTCGTGATTCATGCAGTGAATAAGGAAATTAAAATACACTGATGATATAAATTATTAAGACTTCTTAATCAAATTATTAAGAGTGAGACAAAATATGTTTTTAATTTAATGACAATTAACTTATTCAACTTTATTAAAACCACTTTGAAGTTAGTGAAACGAATTAGTACATCGCTCTTTGATAATTGTTTCATACATTAAATAAAATGACAAGTATGAAAAAAAAATAAAAAGGTACTTATTATAATGTTCATAAACTAAAAAGAGTATTCTATATTATTCTTGATAGTTATGATTGTTATAATATTTTAAAAATTAAAAAATATTTATATTTTTTAATTTTTTTATTTTAATCATAAATTATTATATAATTAAAAGTTATTAACTTTTTTATAATTTTTTAAAACTGTGTTTACAGTAATTTTGAATTAGTTGATATGTAATAATCTTTTTATCTAACTGTATGTTATAAAAATAAATTACAAAGAAATTTAAAAATGATAAAGAAAAGGTATAGCATAATCTTTTAAGATGTCTAAAGCTAGCTCCAATTACACCTAAGGGACTATTGAGTTGATATTTTTATTTGTATAATTTAGCCATTTCTGTTTCTTTTCTCTTTCTTTTTCCTAACTGACATGCATCATAGATCCTTTGATTTGATAGAACTCATAGAAGTTTTTTTTTTTTTTTTAATTATTATGATTATTCATACATGCATGTAAATTATACAATGAAGATTCGGTTCATTATTAATTTATGATAATAATCTTTTATCTAGGGACAAAGATTGATAGATATTGAGTGCTAACTGCTTCAATAGCTGGTAAATGGGAAATGCATTTCCTGATGGACAACTTGATAGTAAGTATGGCATCATTTAGGAGAACAAGGTACCATCACTGTCGACAGTGACTAAATTTGAATAGGAGTCCACACATGAAGTTTGGAAAAGGTTCCCCGACTCTTGTTGTGGAGGAATCCCATCAAATAAGTTAACAAATTAATTTAACATTTTGTATAAAATAAACATTATATTGATATATAATTAATAGATTATGCAATTATATTATCAATTTTTTTAATATATGTCTAAGTAAGTACACATCATAAGAAATGAAGAATTAATAACTTTTATTAATAATTATAATATTTAAATTTATTAATATATTAAATTACGTTTTAGTAATTAAAGAAGATAAACTTTTAAAAAAAGAAAGTTAAAGAATTACTCTATTAATTTTTTTAATATCTTTTCATGTAACTTAAATGTAAAATAATAAATTAAGCTTAAAATACACAACTTTTAAAGGAAGTTGTGTTTTTTTTTTACTCAAGACTTGTCCTACATCAATTTTTTAAAAATTTATATTATTATAATAATTTAAAAAAAAATGTACTACAATAGTATATAATAATTTTTCAAAAGTAACTTAAAAGAATTATTTTTTTTAAATCACTTTTAAAGAATAGTTACGTATTAACCAATCTTATAAATTAAAATTTTAAAAATAAAATACTGCTTAATTTAGGATAATACTATGAATCTCTTCTTCTTCATTTTTTTTTATACTAATAAAGTTAATCTTTTCTACTATTACATGTACCTTTTTCATTTATTTTTTTATTTTTTTCTATTCATCAGGGTTTCACTTATTTGAATGGGAGTTATTTAATTAACATGTTGTAAAAATTTAAATTTTAACGAGTTAAATTTAATTTGAATAATTTTTAAAAAAAATTAACTTTCAAACATACAAATTTAAATTTAAACTTAATAATAAATCAATTATAATTTATAATAAAAACTCATAATTTTTTCAAATTTTATATTTACGATTTAAAATATATTAAAGCATAATTAGAAAATTTATTCTCTAAAAAACAGCTGAAGAACAATTATTAACCATTCTCATGCATCTACTGTTACAATTATTAACCTCTTACTGATATTATTGTTGTTGCAGTATTTTATTATGTTTGATAAAATTGAGCTTTTTGGAACGTGTGATGCCAACTAAAGGTAAAACATGTATCCAAACGTAATCTTACTGGTAAAAGATGTAAAAGATGTCTGTTCATGTCAAGAATATTACACGTAGATTCTGGTGACCCACCAATACATACACATCATTATCTTTAGTTTGAACGTCTCCTGTTCACACAACATCTCTATAACTCCGGGGTCCATCCCAACCAAACAAAAGTTGGAGATAAGAAACTTTGCTTCCCTCCATCTTTTTTGTTTCCCCATTTCTCAATAATTGGAGGCAAAAAATATTTTCTGCAGAAAAAAGATATTTTGTGCACTGCATTATGATGTATATATCTTAAACAAAGAGAAAAATGACAAAAGAAAATAATGATTAATAAAGTGGCATAAAAAGTAAAGAAATCGAAAGAACAATAACTACTAAAAATGGATATAAAAGAAGAAAATATACTAAAAATTTATATAAAAGAAGAAAATATGAAGAAGAAAAACTCATTGTTATTAAATCATGAAATATTGTCATGTTGTTAATTTTTTTTTATGAAAAATAATTTAAAATTAATATCTATATTATTTCTTAATTTATTTTGTTAATGATATCTCTTGGACTGGTTTTAAGTATTTAAAAGGAATAAAATTTATTAAAAATCAAGTATCTTCTTATACTTTTATATTTTTATATGATAACTAATTATTTTTAATAAATTAGTTATTGAAATCAATCTTAAGAATTTATATTAATATTTTTAGTACTTAGATTATAATAATGTAAAAAAATATTAAAATTGATAAAATTAATTATTAAACTTAGAAATGTGACACTTGTCTTACTAAAAGTAAGAAACTATATAATAATAATAAGATAAAATTTATTATATTTTTTATAATTGAGAAAATTTAGTATTTTTTTATGCATAAAATAATCATCACTCTTGATTTTATGTTAATAAATAGTAAAATCAGTAGATTAGTTAAAAAGATGTTATAATCCTTTAGTCTTAAGATATTAAATGAATTGTGACTGTAGATTAGAAAAAGTATAAAATACTCTTTCAGATAACAGCACCGATAACAAAGGATCGTATATAAATCAATAATTAAAATTTGTTATACGTTTATACAAGCACTTGAATATCGTATAACAAATTTTATCCTCTGTGCCAAAGGATGTCACTGAAGAGTCCTTATAGAATTAGTTATCATAGCTCCAAAGTTCTGCATCAAAGACTGGACAAAAGTGCTCGGGTTCACTCAAGTCGTAGGAAATATCAAGCTCAAGCAGATATGGTTCTACCCAGAAGTTTCCACTCACAAGACCAGCGTCTGCATCAAGAAAGGCAAATTCATCTTCGAGAGAGAGGTTTTCGTTGCTGGTAGACCCTGAGGTTGTGGAGGAAGAATGCTGAGACAATGGTGAAGATTCTTGTGTGGTTTGAAAGCTTTGGAAAGGATCTGAATTTAGTTGAGTTGGGGATTGGTCCTTTGACTTGGATACCTCAGTTTCTGCGACTGAATACTCTTGAGATCGTTTCTTGAGGTTTGTGTGCCAATGGTTTTTTATTTCATTGTCTGTTCTTCCTGGCATCTGAGCAGCTATGGCAGACCATCTGCTAGCCAAAGGAAATTAAGATTTCATCAATCTCTTCGTTATATCATTCATTTTTTTTTAGCTTTTTATGTCTTTTTTAATTATCTGCTTAATATTTTTGTTATTATTTTATAAAATCATTATTAAATAAAAAAATACATGTATTTAATATTTTCTTTCTTTAGTAATTAAAAATGTATAACAATAAAAGATAGAAGAGTTTAAAATTATTATTTTACTTTTACACTTTTTTTCATTAATTGTTTTTTCTTAGAAAATAACATTCCTATTGACGACTTTTACAAATAGACCGGATCCAAGTTCTTCAGTGTAGGAAGAATGGTTGGTCTTTCATATAAAATTTGACCTTCAGATTACAATAATCTCCAAAATGTTTAAAGAAATTGAATCTGTGCATGGATTACATATACTCCCTTTATTTTCACCTTTTTAATTAGTGTGAGTTTTTTTTTATTTTTTTTTTATTTTCAGTATTTCATCTTAAATTGTCTTCACTCCATGTTAATTAATTGATGATTGTGTTGTAAAACATTAATCATTTAAGTATGTTTTTAAGCTTAATAAATAACAGGAACATACTTTTGAAACTCAGCTTAGTAAACTATTTTATTTTATTGAGTGAAGCTCATATTTATCCCACTAATAAAATAATCATTCATGATTATATAATATTTTGATCAATAATAAAAATAGAGTAAAAAGATAAAATACAAATAATATAATAACTTAATTCTTGTAGTGACTGACTGACATCACCAACTTTGTACTACGCATAGTTTCGAATCATAAAGTTCCGACAAAAGAAAAATTAACCAATAACATTTTTTTTAGTTTTTTAGAGAATTGTCCTAAACTTTAGTACATCACAGTTTTAATATGTTATCAAATAAACATTTAATACCTTTTGCCCTAATTTACAACGTATATGTGTTAATATTGGCTAATTGATTAAAAATTCAGATACGTACGCAATCCAACAACGAAAAAGACGGAAAACGCAATCCAAAGAATAAATGGTAAATAATCACCGTTTGTTTATGACTCACTTGCATGATATTTTAGTTGCACAGCATGACATTTGGTTAATGATTTCTAGAAATAATTTCATTAATAATTCTTTTGTTTTTATAAATAATATTTACATTATACATTTATGGTGTATTTTAAAATTATGAATGATAGTAAATGTTTAAATTGACTTATATATTAAATAAATTACTATATTTATTTATATGTGTAATTAGTGAAAGAGAGTTAACCAAATTTTATAATATATAATAGTATAAAAAATTTACCAATTAATATATCTAAAATTAAATTCTTATTTCTTATAATTAATAAAATTATTTTATCATTTATAAAAGAATAAAGGAGTATATACATTGTTGTTCTACCAAAAATGTTTCACACCTGTTACCCAGATCCTGATGCAGCTTGATAATAGTTTCCTCTTCTTCTTGGGTGTAGTTCCCTCTTTTGAGGTTTGGCCTTAGGTAATTCAGCCACCTAAGTCTGCAACTCTTTCCACATCTGGCAAGACCTGAAATTCGGTGAATACCAATTATTACAATGGATTCAGAGCACTCAACTCAATAATATACTGTACGTGGTCCGTGCACATATAACATGGCATAGTCCCTACACATTATCGGAACATAATTCAAAATGAAAGCTACATTGGCGACTAATGGTACTTAGGTGCTTAATTTGCCCTTGATCAAATCGTTTAATAACTAAAAGTTACATTATACTAACTATATTCATACAATAATTTTTACATTTGTTTTATTTTATTTTTTAAAAATGTGAACCACAATCTTTAAAAAATAACTAATCACACTAAAAAAAATTATACTTTTATAATTTTAATATAATAAATGTGTTTTTTTACTAAAAATTATATTTTTTTAAATATTTAAACTGACATTAAGATTAACCAAACTCTTCATTTTTTATGAGATTACATTATGATCTATTATCACATTTTTGATTTCTAACTCATACAGTTAAAAATGAGATGCATGACAAACTTTATTCTTCTTCCCCCGAATGGGTTAAAAAGAGAAAGATGAAATGGAGGAAGGTGATAGAATGGGCACTTTGGGATTGTATAAAAGACAGTGGAAACTTAAAATTGTATAAGATCTGAGAATGGATAGAGTGTGGTACCTGCGAACTTGGGGAGAAGACGCCAGTTCCAGTGGCCATACCTAGTAATATAATCAACCAACTTCTTGTCTTCCTCCGGAGTCCATGTTCCTTTCTTGAGTCCATTTTTGTCACACACGGGGGTTCTCACCATTGGTCTCTGTTGGTGTGTGGTGGAATGGTGTTTTCCTAAAAGGCAGAGAAACAGAGAGGGAACAAGAGGTGAGATACTAAATTCATTCTCTTGCAGCTGAGCAGATAACTTCAGCCTACTTGCACATATATATGCACCACCTTGCCTTCACACCCAAAACGTGTTTCACGCTACGACTTTAAAACTTGCACGAACGAAAGAGAGAAAATAAAATGACATTTATATTTAAATTTAATTTTAAAATTACAACGTGTATCCCTGATAAATGCATCCCAAGGTGTGGTGCTGATTTAAATTGGGTCTAAAGCACCATCCATTTATTTGCTGCTCCCGCTCCCTTTAAATCATTTCTACTTTGTGCTACCAAATACCAGTTCCATAAATTATAAATATTTTCATCTCAATTTTTATGGTCGTTTTAAGCAATTAATAGTGTTCATATTTTTTTTTAAAAATATTTATTATACTTTATACCTTTAATTCAATTAGTATATTCTTTTAGTAAAATCTATTATTTTTAGATATTTAAACTCAACACTAAAAGTTAATATTACAAAAAAATTTAATTATTATAATAAGATTGTTTAGATGATAATGTGATAAATAATTTGACGTAAATTAAAACTCTTAAAATCATAGATAATATGAACTGGACCGTTATCATTTACAGTATTGTCATTTAAAATTTTTATGTAAATTAAATAATTTTTAATTATTTAAAATATATTATATTTTATTAAAATATTTTTATCAGTACTATTGTTTTTTATTTTCCTAATAAAATATATAAAAAATAGAATTGGAATTAAATTTAAATACATTGTTAGTAGACCCATTTTTAACATTAACATTCAATTAAGAATTGCCACATTAGAAAAATATTTGATTTTTTAATAATTAATATGAAAATGAAATTAATTATGCAAGTGTGATTAGTTAAAAATATAGGAGAATATTTACAGGATACCAATTTTACACTCTTAAAATTTATAATGATGAATATCTTAAAAAAATTAATAGAGAAGTGAAATAACATTTTTTTTAAGACTAAGTGCGTATTAAATTTATTATTTTAAAAGAATAATCATTTTCTAGATGACCTCTTAAGAAAGATTATTTATTTTAAAAAATAAAATTATTTCTACAAATGTAGGGTAACAAATTGTCATGCCGTAAAGAGAACCATGTGTATCTTATACATAAACTACACGTACGCATGAATTGATTTTAGTCGTTAAAGTCTATAAAGTCCCTCCATTCAAAGGTATATTCTCATGAATTGATTTCAGTCGTAATGATCGAATTCAATCAGCAAAGGTTTTAAACATAATTTGGAGTTGGTTGAGTTGTTACATACATTAAATATGAGCCAAAATGTGATACATATTGAAGTTATTTTATTTTATTGATCAACAAATGTGGAAGTTATTAGTTAGTGGTGGAGTTAAGACTGAAATTTCTAGGATAATTAATTAGTGTTATTTTTAGTTAGCACATATTTATAACTATAATTAATTTAATTTACTCGCTATGCATTACAGAATAATTAATTAATGGTTGTATTCATATTCATATTAAATAGATTTTCTTCTTTTTAAAACTAATAATCATTGTTCTTCGGGATAAAGGATTCAGAAACATTATTATAATAGAAAATAAAATATTTCCTTTAATTTATTTATAAAAAATAAAAAATTAAATCACTACGATTAAAGAAAACAATTAATTTAATTATATTTTTTATAAATATAAATTTTATTTTAAAAATACCTAAAACATTAAGTGAAGTAGTTAGTGTGATCATTATCTTATTAAATATACATTTAACAATAAAAAAAAGCTATAAGAAGAATTCAACAATTAATAATTTAGTTAAAAAATATTTTTTCTATGTGTATTAAAAAGGAATTCAACAATTTTTTCGATGTGTACTAAAAAGATATTTCTTTACCGATAGTTAAAGATTTAAAAAAATTAGTTATTTCAAAATATAAAATTATAATAATAGATTTAATCTCATCTTACAAAGCTTCTTTTATATGCACGACAATAAGAACCAACTTCTATCAACATGCAGAAAAAAACTTAAGGTGTTATTAGATTTAAAAACAATGTATTTTTAAATTTGTATTTTCAATTTAAATATAAAAATATTATATTATTTTTATTTTATTTCCTTTTTAAAATGTTTGTATAAAAATAAAAAAATATTATTTAATACAAATTTTAAAAAATAAATTTTTTATAATTAAAAATTAGAACATAAAATATTTTCTCTAATAGAAAGTATCTATCGGCTATCAGATATACAAAGTGTAATATACTATGGAATGTGGATACGTAGGGATTTTTGCAAGTCGTCTTTCTTTCAGTAGGCATGGGCTCACCTATTTAATTCATTTTGCTTGATTTGACGTTGAATCTAGAGTTAGTGGTGAATAATATACTAGCAACATAAATCATTGCTGCATTGGAACTGTTCTGGCAACGGAATACAGGAACAACTTTCCATCATCCCAACTCTTTCTCCACATAATACTAAATACTAATTAGTCTGAATTTCCAAATCATGTGGCTATAGTATGGTTCATAAACGATTATTTAAGATATCTTTTCTTTTATAATAATAGTCAATAGCACAGAGAAAATATGAGGCTAAGGACGCTTGATGAGACCAAGACAATTATTTAAGCTTGTCCAAATAGTTGTATCTCTTTAATGAGGTGAATAGTTAAATGACAATTATTTTCAAGAATGAAGATAAAAAAATGCATGTCAAACTCACACAAAGGCACAATAGTTTGCTTTTGTAAAGCACACAATTCACTGAATTGATTACAAACTTTCTATAAGAAGAGACATATATTTTAGCTATGATACCTCACACCTTTTTTTAGTGAAGCAGTCATGATCAGAGATAGTAAACCTTTCTAAGTGAAATAAATGTTCCATAAGAACATAATAGTCTCAAGAGATTAGACCTGTTTTTTTTTCGGTCCAAGGAAGTAGAAATTGAGGAAAGAGATAGAGGTGTGATTTTTGCAAGATACAGAATTATATATGCTTCTCCAACTTATCACTAAATTATTAAATGAGGGACGAGATTAAACCCTTTTAACTTAAGATTTTTCATCAATATAAGAATCTTGACACTTGAAAGAGTGTACAAGTAGGAATGGTTAAGGAAGGATCAACCATTACAACGCATGAGCCTGACCTTTTAGTTGTCATAAGCCATTTTTGTAGGCTTGGCCTAGTTTGATCGACTGTAATAGCCTGGCTTATAAGTGCAATGCTAAGAGTTGAACTTCTCTTCTAAATAAAAAAGGACAACGTCAAAGTTGCGCATTCACAGTGTAGTAAACTTTACACACAACGTCGTAGTTTGAAAATGCAGTCGTTGGTCACACACAGATGCATGAACCAGCTGAGCACCAAAACCATTAAAACAAAAAACTAACAACAGGATCACATTAATTGTCATCGTCCTCACCAAACGACCACTACCAGTCATTACCGTGTATTGTGTGTCCCAATTTGTGTCTTAAAATGAGAGAAGTTTCAAAGATTTCACTTATATATTTTTAATTTTTGCTGGATTAAATAATAACAACACAAAAGAAGAAAATAAAATAATTGTGGTTGAGAGAGATCGACTTTTGCTTCTGTTATATGAGATCCTCCTAATATTTTTTAGTGCTATTAAATTTTACGTAGATTGTTGGTTCTAAAAATTTTATTTATAGATTGAAACGAAGTTTATAAATTTAAATAAAATTTATTATTAAAATAATAATAAATATTTTTAGAACTAGAGAAACAAGTTATAAAATTCAAAACATATAATATTTATTGATTCGATGTTTCAAAATTTTAAAAATTAAATTTAAACTATGATTAACATTTTTTAAAGTGTTTCTAATTACACGTGTTAAGAATTCAAATTATAAAAACTTTTTATTGAAAATTATAATCTTTAATGTTACAAATATGTTAAATTTTATGATATTTATTTTTTTTAATAAAAATTTATTGTATATAATATTTTATTGTATATATTTTTTTTAGTTATTCAAATGAGTTAAAAGTTCAATTACAATCAAGCAACCATTCTAAAAGTCTTAACACAAGCATCTAAACTTAGAAATGAGAGAAGGAAAGAAAGAACTCTCTCAAAAGCAGTATAATGAGACAAATATTTAAAATTTATTTTAATTAATTTTTTACCACATTAGTCACTTTCTTACGAATGTGACAAATTTTAATAGAATTAATAAGTTTTAAAGCATATCTAATATTATAGAAAAATGATTTAAATTTATCTTTCTTAATAAATAAGGTTCATATTTTTCATAAATTTTAAAATTGAATAAGTGTAGGAGTCCATCTTTACGAAGTCCTGGCATGCAATTCTCATTTATCTAGCCTAAATGATAATGCCAAAGCGATAAGTATATTTTCATTATTCAATTTTAGCTTTTTAATATAAATGTTATAAAGGGTAGTATTGAGTACAATATTAAATATACCATTTAAATAAATGAAATAATGTTTTAAACTTCCATTTTTTTTCCCAAAAAAAAAAATCTGTATTAACAGTTCTATAAGGGACATTGTTCTGAAACTACTAACAAAGAGTTTCTTTTTTATAAAATACCTTTATTTAGCAATTAGTTATAAACTCACTAATAAAGCTCCCTCTGTACAACAATTTTGCAACTGATTACTGATAAATACTTTTTTATATTCAATATCCCAGTGGTTTATGATATAATTGTGAATATATTTATGCTAAACAATTAAACCTTCACTCTGTGGTTCTGATTCTTCTCCTTATATATACACAAATAGATATATTGCAAACAAATTTGTTTCTCATTTCCTAATAGCAAATCAAACAGTTCTCAATAATGAAGATCCATGTTTTTACGTTATGTCGTGTTTTATTGAATAAAGAAGTCGAACCTTCTGCATCGATCCTTTCAAGTCTACTAATTTCA